TTGAAGACTACGTTAGAGGTCAAAAACTGAACTTTGAAGCAAATTTTTAGTATATTTAGAATTTTGATAACTACTATAAGAGCTCTCGGCAAAGCACGCGTTGGTGCAGGCCTTGTGTGGAATCGGGATCCGTCATGCCTTGTTATTGAACTAAAGTGTTCGCGTTTCATTGGATGGGGTGACTGTATTTATATCTACATCTATATTTTAGCTTTCTGTTCAAGATTGGCAGAATTTCAGTGTCACTGCATCTTGCCCTCCCTCAGTTCTTACACCTCTCACACTGAATAGATCTACTTGAGCCATTCAAGTTATTACTATTACTCTACTTTGAGTTTGAGCAATAGTTTTCGTCTTCACGTTTATTATATGAATCATGACACCCAGACTGGTTATTGACAGTCGATATTCTGGTTCTAGGTATTTTCTCAGGCTCAAAGCAGGATTCCTTTTTTATATAGGGCCTATAGTTTATGTAGGCTAATATGATGAGGGGGAAATATAAATACATGTAAGTAAGAACAGACTGAAATGCCAAAGTCACTCAAGATCCCAGTGCCACACTGACATGTCGACTGGATATAATGTACCTACATGTTTGTGTGTATATGTGTTCACGAACATATACATATATATTATATCTGATATAAATGGAGCATGCGCTGCCATTATGTAACACGCCCCTGGAAAATGGAGGGCGCGTCCCGTCCCCCCCCGGGAAATTTGAGAAGCTGGGTAGCAGTCACCCAGTATTTTAATCATCTGTTGTTTGAATGAAGACTACTACAAAATGTACATTTGCATTCATTTTAAGACATTTTGACTTTTTATCATTGATGATGGCCTTTTTGGGGGATCATTCTTGATGCGCAGCAGCCTGATTTTTCTCTCAAATTGGGGTCTTGAAAAAATTTCCAAGATTTGGTGGGGACCCTGTATTAAGTCCTTTGCTTTTAATCAGTTAAAAAGTGGTCCTTTGGACCCTCCCCTTAAAAATTCCCCTGTGCAAGACATAATTTTTTTCTGTCTCCCTTGTGATTCTTTTTTTTTAGACAGGTTCACTCATGATACTGCTGGACATGACATATTTATGTCTTAACTTTTTTGTTTCAGATTTTTCCTGTACGTGTTCCTGGCTGCCATTATCATTTTACTTCTTGTTGGCGCTCAGCAGTTGGTTGCTAGCTTTGGTGTAAGTATTCCTGTCCTATTTCAGCATTCAAGAGTTTATGGGTGATGTTCTGTAGGTTTTTCAACTTGTGGAGAGCTTTGCTTGTGCAGTATTATTATGTAGGGTCTAATCTTACTTTTTCATGCTCAAAATGTATATCTGTATCAAAGTATAGTCTTTGGGTTATCACAATTCCTCAGAATGTGGCTTACTGTTGACTTATTGAATAACACAGGTTATATAGATTTTATGCCACTGTTTCATGAGGGACCTTGTCTCATTCTCTTGTACTATCCCAGGATATATCTGTTTGACATATGTCAGAAATGGGTTGGGTTTTTTTCTTGTAATCAGCATGGTTATAAGAAATGCAAGGAAACAGCGGGTGATGCATTGCTGTATGCTACTACCCTCCTGAGGGCTTGCTAGAGAAACTTTGGAGTGCTAGAGCATGACTTGGACTATGTTTCAAGTTGTGTGTAGAACACTCTGTACATACACCGAGAAAAGAGATAGCCGATGCTTGTATATTACAGACCTGCCAACCACTCCATGGCCAAAAATAATTTTTCTCTAAAAATCGGGGAGATGCTCTAGAACTCGAGAAGATTGATATTGTGTTACTAACCTGTTGTGGCAAATGTGTGTGTGCCGGGAAAGGTACCGGTTAATGCATTTACCCAAACTGTAGTACACGGCAATAAAAGATCAATTTTTACCAAATTTGAGTTCCATTAAAAAGGGGGCTCTAGCTTTATTGGAGTTCTTGGTAGGTTTGACATACTGTATTCAGCTCACTATTGAAAACAACAACACTGTTTTACATTCTGTATTTGTTTTCATTTTCAAGTGCTGTGACAATGTTGCCATGTTCATTTGTGTAAGATTATAATACAAATGCTGTGAGTCGGGATAAACAGTCCACACACTATTGCGCCGTGAAGGGTTTTGGGGGTTTTTTTTAGTTAGAAAGTATGCCTTGTATTCTACATTTCAAGACTGGCTTTGACTTATCATTCCCATTTGCTGTAATCTTCTGACACCTTGAACTGTTTTTTAAGTTGTGCATGCAACATAATTTAGAGCTATTCAACTAATAAGCCAGAAGCATTTAAACAGGGAGTTTGTCACCTGTGAATGGTTTTCATTAGAGTGCAGTCCAGATATTTTTACCTGTTCCGGTGGCATCTTGACTTCTTTTTGACATTCAAAGTAACAATTCAGAGCCTTTTAGACACTTTCATCTTTGAATAGTTACTCTCTTTGGGCAAAAAGCCCTCATCCAAACCGCAGAGTAATTGAAATGGGGCTTTGATTTGTTTCTTGTTTTGTTTTGATTGTGGGTGTTTTTGTTGTTTTTGCCCTCCCCCAACTGAGATTTTCCTTTACGAAAGAGGGATGCTGAATGACATCTATTTCATCTTGCAAGGAAACAGCGGGTGATGCATTGCTGTATGCTTCTACCCTCCTGAGGGCTTGCTAGAGAAACTTCGGAGTGCTAGAGCATGACTTGGACTATGTTTCAAGTTGTGTGTAGAACACTCTGTACATGGAGAGGAAAAAAGGGTTACTCATAGGGGGCGGGGAGGGGTCTGTCCACTTTTATTAAGCCGGGGTAGAGCGGTTTCAAAATTTTACAACTAGCATTAAGGTTTTGCATGGAACATTCAACCTTTTTTTAAAATAAAAAGTGCAGTCGAACCTGTCCAAAATTAACACACACACACACACACCCCTTTTTTATTTTTTATTTTATTTGGGGGGGGGGGGGTGAAAAAAGTCTGAGACAATTGTCCTTATATTTCTGAAAGAAACGCTAGTGGGAGGGGGACTATCCTGTGAGCTTTCATATATAAAAGACTTCGTTTTCAAATAACATTAGATGTACCACCATCTGAAGCGTCTGTGGTGTGGCGTGTTTTTATGGTTGCTTTTTAAATTGTTAATGGCGGTTTGTTTGTTGTTTGATTGGTTGTTTTTTTTATGTTCAAATAAGACCTGCCTTTGATTTAAAATGTGGGAACTATTATTCGTTACCCATGCAAGGAAACAGCGGGTGATGCATTGCTGTATGTTTCTACCCTCCTGAGGGCTTGCTAGAGCATGACTTGGACTATGTTTCAAGTTGTGTGTAGAACACTTTGTACATGGATAGAGAAAAAAAATTTTACTCTTTGGGGACAGGGAGGGGTCTTTCCACTTGTAATAAACCAGGGTGGAGTGGTTTCAAAATTTTGCAGTTAACATTAAGGTTTGGCATGAAAAATGCAATCTCTTTTGAAATAACAAAGTACAGTCGAACCTGTCCAAGATTACCGCCCATGTTGATGAAAAAAATGGTCTGCTTAGACGACAGTGTCCTTATATTTCTAAGAGAAATGTTAGGGGGAAGTGGACAATCTTGTGATGTTTCATATAAAAGACTTCGTTTTCACATAACATTGGATGTACCTCCATCATGAAGTGTCTATAGCATGTTTTAATTGTCGTTTTTGTTAATGATGGCTTGTATGTTGGGTTTTTTAATGTTCAAATAAGACTTACCTTTGATTAAAAGTGTGGGAACTATTGTCCATTAGCCATGCAAGGAAACAGCGGGTGATGCATTGCTGTATGCTTCTACCCTCCTGAGGGCTTGCTAAAGAAACTTCGGAGTGCTAGAGCATGACTTGGACTATGTTTCAAGTTGTGTGTAGAACACTCTGTACATGGAGAGAGTAAAAAACAAACAGTTTACCCTTTGGGGGCGGGGAGGGGTCTGTCCACTTTTAATAAGCCAGGGTAGAATTGTTTCAAAATTTTTCAGCTAGCATTTGACACTTTGCGGTCATCTTGTGATATTTCATATAAAAGACTTCATTTTCACATAACATTGGTTGTACCACCATCATGAAGTCTATGGCATTTTGTAATAGTAGTTTTTGTTATTGGATGTTTGTATGTTGTTTGTTTGTGTAGGTACCACAAACTGAAATTTCAAAGTCCTCTGATTTCATAGTTAACTACACTACCTTATAGAATTTATCATTCTGAGCATTTTGATACCAAATTTATACATATAGCTTCATTTTTAACAAAGTTATGAACATCTGAAGTGGCAGAAAAATGTTAGTTTTTTAATTGCGAAATGTCTACACTTTGAGATGTCACAACATTCTTAAATTTGAACGGACATTCACAAAAACTTGTAGACACACACCTATGAACATAGAAAACAAGCTCAATTTTTTTCAGGGCTATCAAATAACCAGAAGATGGAAATTTATAGACGTAAACATGGCTTTTTGACCAAAACGGCAAGAAATACAAGGGGAGATTAAAATCCCCACTCACGACCGCCGGCTTATCGGCTGCGCGCTGAAGGGAAGAAGAGAGACTTTATACGAAAAGGGGCGATGGTGCCCTGCTTGCAAGCCGACGGGGAGCGTCCGGTGTTTATTTGCGTATAATGGCTGTGTTATTCTTGAAGAGGAATGAATGGGCTTTCTGCCGGTATATTTTCGTAGTCAGTCCGATCACTGGTTCCATAAAAAAAACAACACCGAAAGTTTTCACACGCAAATCTCTTCTATTAATTCTCAAAGAACAGTCTTTAGAAATATATCACCGGAAAGAGCGTCTTCTTATCTTGAAATATCGACGAATCAGATTGCAGTATTTAATACCATACGCTCCCCGTTCCTGTTCAACCGAGGTCACTCGAAAAATCAATAGACGAAACGCGCTGCCGCGACAGTGAAAACCTCGATAGTGTTGTCTTTTTTCCCGCAAGATTTTGCTTTCAAAAGAATCGTTGATCAAATAAATATTACCACTAAAAAGTGGAAAAGCTCCTCTTTCTTCTGATATATCAAGTGTCTGTGTGTATGCATGATCACACAGTGTTTTAGGAGGGTAAAAATGTGGGTTTTGGTCTCTGTGACAGTGCGCCACGGGGGCGCACGGCCAGTTTGCGGTACCTAGTTTGTGTTGTTTTTTTGTTTATGTTCAAATTAAGACCTGCCTTTGATTAAAAATGTGGGAACTATTATTCGTTAGCCATGCAAGGAAACAGCGGGTGATGCATTGCTGTATGCTTCTACCCTCCTGAGGGCTTGCAAAAGAAACTTTGGAGTGCTAGAGCATGACTTGGACTATGTTTCAAGTTGTGTGTAGAACACTCTGTACATGGAGAGAGAGGGGGGAAAAGTTTACTCTTTGAGGGCGGGGAGGGGTCTGTCCGCTTTTAATAAGCCAGGGTAGAGTGGTTTCAAAATTTTAGTTAGCATTAAGGTTTTGCATGGAACATTCAATCTCTTTTTAAATAACAAAGTACAGTCCAACCTGTCGAAGATTACCGCCCATGTTGAAAAAAATCTGCTTGGACAACAGTGTCCTTATATTTCTAAAAGAAGCGCTAGTTGGAGGGGGACTATCATGTGAGCTTTCATATAAAAGACTTCGTTTTTACTAAACATTGGATGTACCACCATCATGAATCGTCAGTGGCACGTTTTAATTGTAGTTTTTGTTATTGGTGGTTTGTATGTTGTTGTTGTTTTGTTTTTTGTTAATGTTCAAATAAGACCTGCCTTTGATTAAAAGTGTGGGAACCATTGAATTCGTTATCCATGCAAGGAAACAGCGGGTGATGCATTGCTGTATGCTCTACCCTCCTGAGGGCTTGCAAAAGAAACTTCGGAGTGCTAGAGCATGACTTGGACTATGTTTCAAGTTGTGTGTAGAACACTCTGTACATATGCAGAGAAAAGAGAGATAGCTGATGCTTGTTTAATTCAGCTTACCCCATGATCCCTTTGTCATATCAATTCTGTCTTTATTTAACAGCGAAAACGTCTTTCGAAGCCCCGCCAGCCGGTTGAAATGGGAACACAAAATTCTGATGTGGACTATGACTGGTTGCCAAAGGAGACTCTTCAGGGTCTTAGTAAGTTTTTTTGAATTATTATACTTCAGTCGTTTAGTTTATGTGGGTTTTGGTTGGGGGGGGGGGGGGGTTGAAATATGGCGCTGTGTAGTACAGTGGAATCCTGTTTTAACGAGAGGGTGGGAACTGGTACGAAATGTCCGTTATAGCAGGTTTCTCTTTATGAGGGATCCAGTAAGAATTTAAAAGGAAATAATAAAGTATGAGTTTGGTGTTCTGTTGCTGTTTTTTATTATCTCCCCTGATGATGGTTTTGTTCAACATGAAATCTAGGTCTTTCTTGATCAAAAATTGAATCAGGTTTCTTTCTCTAGCGTTAAAACGATGTTGACAGCTCGGCTTTGGTGATCAGAAAGAAAGTTCTCAAGGCTGACTTGCCCGCTGTATTTTCTCCCACCCCACCACACCCTGTGGTGCGTTCCCGCATCTGCTTGCGCACATCACACATTCGCTCCATCCATCACAGCACTGTGACCTCTCCATCCCCGCATCAGAGAAGTGAGAGGCATGATAGGCCTAGATAATCTAGACTAGGCTGGCCTATCACAATGCGTTCTGCTTCTCTACTACAGCTCTTCTGCGCATGCAACACCCTCCCCACTCATTCGCTCCGGCTTTCATCGTTGGCACACATGGGCTCTCCCATTCTTTATTTTGCTTGATCACCAAGTGTCTCAGCTGGCGAGATTTTACATATGTAGAAATGACCTATACGCTGTGCATGGCAACAGGAATATTCCGCTATAACCGACTCGCGCGTTTATCTGATTGAGCTATAGCAGTATTTTATTTACAAAGATGAAGAAGGGGGGGAAAATAGACTTCTCGTTATTTCAGAACTCGTTATAAGTGGACTCCACTGTACCAACGTGTACTGGGCCTGGTTGAAAACACATGTATTTTTTAGAAAGGAATATTGATCGAACCAGACTATTTCAATGGGTTGATTTACATTTTTTCACTAACTTTGTTTTCCTTAACTCACTTCAGGCGGTTCACACAACAGTTGCGTTACCCCCGCCGCGACGCTCGCGACGGGTCTCACAAGCCCTGCGTGACCAACTTTGGAATTTTTTTTCCGCTCTACAAATCACGCACGGATCGCGAGACCCGCCTCGTACCCTTGTTTGGCCAAGCCTGAACTACTTAGACTTCGTTTCATATCTCTGGGGCCGGTAGTTTTTAAGTTATTGAAGGTGAAGGACAGTGACCCCCAACTGGGGTTGAACAGACCGGAACTCGCGCTTTGTTTTTTCTATGCAGCTGATAGTAATCCGACAATCGCGTTGTAGTAACGGTCGAAGACGTCGCATGAACAAGAATCACATAATTTCACCGTTTTCTATACTTCTGTACGTTTTACTAGTTCTAGTATCTCAGAATAGGATGTGTCTAATAGTTAGGATCCTGGATATGTACCCGAACACGGCCCGAGTCGTAGTTCTAGGGCTAGATCTAGCACTAGTACCAGTGTTGTTTTTCGCGCAACGAGATCACAACGTCGTGCTGTACATCTGTCTCATGTAATTCAGTGTATGGGTCTGAATCAATGCACAGACCAACTTTTATATTTTCGCCAAACACTCGCACATGGATACAAATCAAACCAGAACACTTTGAACTTTTATTTTTGTTGTTGTAGTGAATTTCATTCTACTTGTCACGTCTGGAAATTTTTCGGAAAATCAAATTCATGCCAATTTTTTAAAAATCATAGAAATTAAAGTATTAGACTTAGACAATTATAGTTTTTTTGTATTAGATTAAGCTTGAATGTTACTTTACTGTGTCAAAAAATAATTACAATAGGGTAATTCTGAGAGTTGTGGTGATTTATTGAAATACCCCCAAAAACGCCAGTCTTCAACGCTTGTGACTGGTGAAAGGGCCCAGTCGCAAGTGAAAGAGTATGGAATGTAGAGAGTTGGGTGATTCGGTTCTGTTGCTACTGTTTTGTTTTTGTTTTTATTCTCAAGATGCATCTCATATGTTGCAAAGGAGGTTCAAGATTAGTAAAAACATGTTTTAGTTTATTAACCAGAGCTTCCAGTCTTCCGCAAATGGAAAAATTTTGTGAACATTCGTGTTAAAAAAAATATATAAAATTATTTTTTAAAATGCGAAATAAAAAATTTCCGTAATTACTGATAGTCAACAAAATAGCCAACCCATATCGGAAGTGCTCTTTTATTTGCAAGTGTAGACGGTTCTTTTACGGGGTCTTTTACTTTCACTTTCTTAACTTTCTAAAGCACAAACAGCACCAGCACTGTAAACAAGAGGAAGACATAACGATTGTGGTTCAATAGATATTTGGGCCTGCCACGAAAAGAAAACTCTGAAGAGAGCTTGATTTTTTCATCAGACTTGTTTATTTGTACATATTGTTGTGGATTTAAGTTGAATATAAACTGTCAAGCTGTTTAGATCTAGATTCTAGCTGTTATACTATTACTGTTAGATATAAATCTATAATAAGGATTCTACACATTAGATCTAGAATCTAGATCTATATATATATATATATATATATATATATAATATAATATAATATGGTGCAAACCAACACATGCAGAAAAAAGGTTGAACATTAACTGTCAAGTTTTATAGATCTAGCTGTTACACTAACTGTTGTGGATGTACAGTATCAGTACAAGGGAGAAAGCATGGCTTTGAATTTATATGGATTAACACTACAGAAAATTGTGTATGCAAGGTATGTTTTTTCTTCTCTTATTTTCTTGTAAAATTTAGGCTTGAATAGCCAAAAATGACACTCTGTGGGCGTCCCCCTTCTACCCCCTGCCAGGGCGCTGCCCTGCACCCGAAAACCTCGAACAATGATATCAGCTGCTGGAAGCTCTGATTAACTGTAAACAAAGACATTAATTGCTGTTCGTCTATTATTTTTTTCTCTTTTCCTCAAGAGATTAGCATTTTAGCATTAAGTTTGGAAACTGTTGTTTGTTTTGCCATGCAAGGAAACAGCGGGTGATGCATTGCTGTATGCTTCTACCCTCCTGAGGGCTTGCAAGAGAAACTTTGGAGTGCTAGAGCATGACTTGGACTATGTTTCAAGTTGTGTGTAGAACACTCTGTACATGAGATTGTAGGAGAAAAGCCATTGATCGTTTTATGAAATGTTTGAAAGATAACAATTTTTTACTGAGAAAGAATAGTGGACATAAAAGAGTTGACGAGGGTCTGCAATTATGTGTGCCCTTCAAGCCAGTTATTCTGTGAATTCACAAATGATGTACTTGGTAATGTTGCACTCAAAATACTTTTTTTGATAGCGCTGATATATCAGGCTCTTATGTGAGTAGTGGTCTGGGTTTTTGTTGGGACTGTATTGTGTGCATTGATCAGCTGTGGATGAACTTGGCTGTTGATGTAGATTTTTTTTTTCTTCACCAACAGTCGGTTTCCTTGAGCGATCAAATTTGACATTTCAAGACGTCTTTGAATATATCTGTTTCTTTTGTTTTCCCCACAGACAAGTCTCCCCGCAGATCACCGAAGCAATCACCAAGACAAAGGCGTAACCTCCGATCGACAGGGTCTGGAGAGGATTGAATGAATGTTGTTGTGCTCTAGTTTATTATAAATATTTGCCTCTTGTCTTTTCTGTCAGAGTCATCACTATTTATCATCGAGTCTATACTTTGTATAGCAACACAAATTTTTCTTTAAAATGCAAATGCAGGATTAATGCATGTTTATAAGAGAAGTATTTGTTTTCTCATTTGGTCTCAAACATTGTCCTAGTGAGTGAGGTTGCTGGTCATTGGCAACTTTATACTGAAAATTGTAAGATATTTCTATATTCTACTGTCCTTTATACGTGTTGCTGCGATTTCTTTATCAATGAGGTGTTTTAATGTTTGTTACTTTTAGTGTTTTCTTTCAGAGCTGGGTGTTGGGCTGTGTCTGTGGCATCTGTGTGAGGCTGTGTGTGGATGGTTGAGCATAGACAGGGTTTTTGAAAGTGTACGGCTTGAGATATTATTGCATTGTCATTTCGTAGCATTTATTTTGGTTTTTCAGCAGAAACATGGCATTGCTCAGCAAAATTGGAGATGAGTTCTTGTATGCAAAGCACAATTTGTTGAGGAAGCATACTCGTGTATAATGTTCATTCCAGTTTGTTATGAGTGATTGGTTGATTGTGTGATAACATCGAACTTGCACTTTTTGTTTTCATTGAAGAATGAAAGGAATAAAATTTGTGGATATATGTTTAGATCAGTCTTTTTATCTTTTTTCTGAGTGCTTAGGCTACCTGCCCGTGTTTTCAAATTTTGTCCAAGTATTTGTTCCCTTATGTGTATTTTTCATTTAACTCATTACACCCTAAGGGCCTGGATGGGAAATCCATTCCTAAATCCTAAGCAAGGGGAAAGAACCCACCTCCCGTGAATACAAGCGTTTAAAAAACATGTTTTAAAAATGATAAATTCCAAAAACTGGAAAAAAAATTAAAAGAAAAATTAATGTGGTTTCAGAAAATATACCCGATATGCGCAAACTGTTGTTCAATCGGGGTGTTTGACCTGTCACCCTCACTCTCAACCTCGTGGCCGGGCCCTAGATCTAAATTCTAGATTTTCTTTGCATGATCAATCTGAATCGCCCCAAACTCTTGCTACGTTTTCATCAAAATCTGAGTCATCTGATTTGTCATATATATATATGCTTGTTTTTGCTGAAATCCAGCGTTATTTCCTTTTTCGAACTCAATTGTGTCGCTTTTCAACAAGTAGAGACCCCTTCAAAGTGTCGGTTACGCGATCGCACTTCGGTCGGCTCTAATACTAAAACTGCTGGCCTGAAAAATTTCGTTTCGGTGTCTGGCGAAAGAAGGTACTTTTTGCAATAACTGCAAATCAAAATCTCGGCCCCGGAGTTTCACTAAGGCGAGACTTATTTTCTAAAGACCCTAGGTCGGTGAGTGCGGTCCCGGGCGAGTTAGGGTGTAATGTGTTTACTTAACTCTTACATCCCTGTTAGATCTTTCAGTTTAGTCATGTCAGCTGGTTGTTCTCTGAGCCTTGTGGTAGTTGACACAGGTGCTGTTTGTCTTGCCACACCAGAGGGTACCAGTAAGTTTTATTTCTTTGTTTTCAGTATGGCAACAGGCGCCTGTGGTGTAAAGGAAGGGCTTTTTAATCTTTATAAAAGGGCCTACAGTTCTGATTCCCATGTGGGGAACAATTTTTTAATGGTACGTCTTTTTCCTGGGATGTTCCCGTTCCAAGTATGTTCGTGATTCTGACATTTCATTGCAGTGTGGAAGTCCAGTTGGATTGTCCCAGATGCTTATGCTTACAAATTGGTCTGTTCCAGCTTCAAAAAGGGGCAAGATTTGTTTTCCGTCGTTGATCCCAGCAATTCTAAATTTTACAACGGCCCTTTTGGGATTGTTTAAAAGTTGCTTTAAATTAATTTATACATCAAATTTTTAGTAGAGGTGTTGACCACAATCAGGCTGTGCGGTGTACTGTTGCGAATAGAACCAACCTTTTATTTGCGCGCTCATATGACCTTATGCAGTTGCAAGCGCTGTAAAACTCGTACTAAAACAAATAGCCTAAAATAAAAAGGAGGTCTTGTGGTCTAGAGGTTACAGTGTTTGCCTCTCATTCAAGGAGTCCCGGTTCGAAACCTGACGGCAACGCGGAAAATGTTCTCCTTTCCAACTCTGTAACCATCATCATGTTCTGTGGTCTGCTTTCCTCTCCCCTTTCTGTCCCTTTGCCCCCTCCTCTGGGCTCCAGACTCTTTCTGCAGCCTTTCGACATCTACTCCTTACTGCTGTCTTTCAGACACACCTCTGGTACTGGTAGGTAAGATCGAACACATAGCATTGTGACTGGCCAGTCCAGTGATTATTGAGGTGGGAAAGAGATGCATAACGTGAGCCACTCCCAATGTGATGCGTCATAGCCCTAGCCAAAAAGACAGTAAAAGTAAAAGAGGAGAGAAGAGTGTGTAGTGTGATTTTTCTGTTGATGTTGTTTTGAGAAAATCGAAGGTAAAGTTTTTGCCCCTTGTTCAGTTTCTCTAAAAGATGAGAGTTTTTTCTAAAACCACACAAATATATATACGCACTAATGAAACCAAATTCTATAGGTAGGGCAATTCCCACTTTTGGTGTAGGTCAAGATTTCTGGAAACCCGAAAACTGGGTTAGCCTGCTTGTCCAAGCGACCAATTCCACTTTGCATAAAATTTCAACAGCAGGAACTTGGCTGTTGTGAGATTTTTTTCTGGAACTAGTAAAAGTCCTGCTTTGGCCATGTTCTACTGTAATAATAGTGTAAGTTAGTGCTCTCTTATCATCATTTCTAGATGCAATGTTCTTATTACATGAAGGGCCGCCCATCGTTATATACGAATTTGGCAGAATCAATCAATACGATTTTTAAAATTCCATTTTATGAAAATACGATAATAATAATAATAACACCCCTGATTACAATTTTTAACAAATATTTATTTTTGCATCTTGCTTGGTAACCTTGTTTTGTTCTAGATCTATGTCACACCCTTTGTTGATACAGAAAAGCAAGCCTTAGACCAAAAACTGTATCCTTTGGGGGTTGACCATAGCTACACCCCCTTAAGATGCCACTTTGAAAAATGGTGCTTCTCAATTCACTAAAATAACAAAAAATGGAAGGAGTCAAAGAGAAAAATTCCGCCACTAGTTTACAGATTGATTTATTGTTATTTATTGATAAATGTACACAAATTGGAATGCAGCACCATAAGAACATTACCCCATGATGCTCATTCGTAACATACAATATATCACTGAGAACAATTTTTTGTACAAACTAAATGTCACAATCCCTTATCCCTTATCTATTGCACAAAATAGGTCGTGAATTGATTTCACATTACACAAGTTGTCAAAAGTGTGAACATACATATATCATGTACACAACACATGATGTGAAATTCTTTTCAAAAGAATTTGGACCACTCACTTAACATACCATTATTTCTTACTTTTCCAGCATACAGACTCATAAATCAAACATACACATAAATGAAATACAATAATTTTGCTTTCACACCACATACATTTCCGCAGTCCATTGTATGCAGTACGGTAGTAATATTCTGCATACTGTAGATAAATTTATAATTTTGATGTAGTCTTTGTCTTTGACACATTCAATTTAGCAGCAAAGAGAAGGAAATGGTTTTAGTTTGGGGCCTACTGGTCCTTTACCTCTGTACTCTCACCCTGATGATCAGGCCAGATGTCCCTTCTGTTACTGATAACAAATGCTCACATTCTGTACTCTCACCCTGATGATCAGGCCAGATGTCCCTTCTGTTACTGATAACAAATGCTCACATTATTCATCTTTCGTATAAACAAACTCTCCTAATTCAACAAACTTAAAGGTCAGGCCTGATGTCTTCATAGTTTCACTATGTCCATATGGGGCCAACTGAATGTAGAATCCCTTGCCTTTCGCATAGGCCTCTATGTCATTTTCGAAATCTCCTTAAAAGTTATTATTTATACAGACCAGAGCCGTTAATGAATTAATCCCTGCCTGCCAAGGTTATTCACCAACTGTGCATGCACCCAGACTCTTATAAATAATCAAATCAGACACATTCATACAAAAGACAAACTTTGGGTTAACAAACTGTAGACAATTCCCCCCTCCACCCCCCCCAAGTCCCAAATGACTTTATAGCCTCAACGACTGCATTCAATCCAGGCATCAAATGCAAAATAAGAAGCTGGGACAGTGATCCTTTACACTGGTCTACGACAAAACATAAATTTCAAGTGTACATTGTTGTCAGAAACCAAGTGCAGGCTCAACCTTCCAACAGGTTCATATCACTTGCCTGAGTTGACCACATCTCACGTCCTTTCTCACTTGTCCACCGCACGTCTAGTCTTGTTGCAGCATGGCCAGCACCACGTTCTCAAACCCTCTGCACAAAAGAAATAGCACGTATAAAAAAAAATTATTCACATCTAACATACATTTTCATTGACGCCATTAGTAGTAGCCTACATGAAACAGCTTTTCCTAACCAATAAAAAATATATGTAAAAGTAAAAGAGCGGAAATCGCTTTTAATTTAGAGTCTGAGGACAGGAATAGTGAGACTGCTGATACGTTGATAAATTGTAATACATGTAACCAATTACTGTTGAAATTATCTAAGATGGCCACCTATTGTCAAAGAGAAAAACGTTTGTCTTAGACAGGCAGACATCTTTCAGTGTCATTATAAAATAGAAAAAATGCAAGAGGGGGGAAGTACCCGTTTGTAACGGTGATTGTCTTGGACAAGCTGCAACTGGAGAAGCTTTGACTGTACATGATGTAATTGAAAAATTACAGATTCTGAACGTGTAAGTTTCAGATCTCATTATACTTTTCCTTGACTAAAGACTACTTGTAATTACAGTAAAACTTCCTTACAACATCTTGCTGATACAATACACTTCAACATTACATGAGCAGCGGCAAGGTTGATTCCACACCATGGAGAAGAAAACTATGACCAGAAAACTTTAAAACACCACATCACAACTTTTCTCTTTTTATCTCAATAAATTCTCTTTGCTGACGGAGGAGCTGTATTACATAATTACAACCAGATGAAACATTAACTCGCCGGAGACTGGGGATTTTTCGCGTCTACAAGCACTGGAGACTGGCGTTTTTGGGGGTATTTCAACATTTCAAACAACACCCTTCCCAAAGACAAACAACCACCATTTTTACACCACATAACAGATCTAAACATGCCCAGTAGAACTACACATAAAACAGAAAGGCAATATCTTTTATATTTTTTAGAAATTATTTTTTGAAAAATGTGCTTATTAAATTTGCTGCTCTTCAAAATTTTTTGACGCACATGTAATGTCTAGTGTAAAAAAAAAAATTGTTTTAAACCCCAAAAATAAAAAACCTTGTGTATTTTTTGTTGTGTTTTATGTCAAAAACTGAATAAAAAGTTCAAACTCATGAAGAGGCAGGTAGGCTATATGGTAATCCTTATGTATTAGCTGTCTAATCCACTTCTGTGTGAAAAAAACAGGTCTCCAGACAAAGCGGAATTAACATTCTCCATCAGAATCAGAGCTTTGATGCTCATTTACATTGAAACCTGGATCCCCATGGTCTAAAATATCATCAGAATTTTCTGAACTGTCAAAGTCGTCAAACACTTGATAAATGTATGCTTTTTGTGCCGCCAAAAGGTTGATTGGCGGGTGCTCTGGTGTGGTGGTTTGCTCCCTCTTTCCTATCAAACATCTTTTGTCCTCATCTCTCCTTCTTCTTTTTTGCGCTTGTTACTCTCTTGTAACACCAAATGTTCAGCAATTATGACCTTATTGTGTTGCAAGTGCTGCAAAACTCTTACTAAAACTAAATATGCTGCCATTGTACTGACAAAGTGTTGCGAGAACAGACACTAGTTCAGAAATATGAATAAAATAGGGCCTCAATGTGACTAACTTTCCTTTCAGCTCAATAACTCAAAAAGTTTCCAGCCAATTCACGTGAAACTTCGCATGAAACGAAAGAAAGGTCGCCTGCACAGTAAGAATGGTTCACACAGCGTTTGCAAGCATACTTTACCAAGGAAAAAACGCGAAACTTGTGCCCGCTGGGGGAGCGTGAACCACCTCTTCGGAATATATTGCTGCTCGCAAATGCTGCGTGAAATGTCTCCAGTGAGCTAATTCAGCTGTCAATTCAAAAATAGGAAGATTTCAGGCAACAGAGGCAAGCAACAAAATAAAAAGAGAATTTCTTGACCATGAGTTTCAGAAAATATTCTTACCTTGAGGTGATATTTTCCCCAGGTTTGTAAAACGGGTTACACAACATGTCCACATAGGCATTGTGAAGCTTTTTAAACATCTGTGAAAAGAAAATGGCTTCATCGTAAAAATGAGATTACATAAGATTCACAATGGAAATACTGAAAAGTTTTTGAAAACAAGTATTACATATCACACAGTAGCAACACAAGTTGCATGAATAATGACACATTGTTTATTACCTCAAGTAATTATGGATAGTTAGTTTATCACCTCGGGTAACAATGGATTGTCAGTAGAAGTAATAGAAATTCTACTTCTACTGACAGATCCATAGTCACCAGAAGAGATAAAACAATTTCATCATTCCAAAATGTATCAACTCATTATAGTACCTATCTACCTGATTCTTTCTTGGAGTCTTTGAGGGGTTTTTTAAAAGTCAAGCTGTATGTATGCCTACCTGGTATACCATGACCCTATTTTGTGAGTTATAGTTATAATGAGAAAGATATAAAACAAAGTATAAACAGTCTATATAATCTACAATCCAAAGTCAGATTTTTCGGGTCATTTTGAATATAAAATCAATATGACCCGTGTTCTTGAATGGAGATAACATGTACATGCCTTCATAAGTAAGAAAAATCATTAATATGATTTTGCATACAAGGGGAGACAAACAAACTCATATTACCTGAATGAGAGAGTACAGTAATGATTTTAAAATACACCAAAGACACCAACAAGTAGACAAGACCTGACCTGCATTATCTATGCCTCTGTTTAACCCTCACTAATCCCTCAGTTGAAAAGAAAAAATTGTCCAATTAGCAGAATCGTGTCAGATTCTTAGTTTCATTATTTTGACAGCACCTGATTTTCCTGCAAAGACACATATATTTAAACAAGTGGCAATCAGGTAAAAAGCTCACCGTTCGAATTTCATTGTCTCTCAGAGATGCATTCGTTGAGTCGACTACAATGACAAATTTAACTTTCGTATTGGTCACATATCCATATCTATGTAAAATTTTAAGGAAAATGTATGCAGAAAACATAATCTTTTTAAATCAAACGAAAGAACAATGAATATATGTCAAATACTGATTATCTACACTACATCACTCCACCAAGGTGAAGGTGAATTTTCACATGCAAAAAAAAAGAAGAAAAGTAGACAACAAGAGCAGAATTAACACCAGTTTAACCCAAACCCATCCACAAATTTTAACACCAATGATTTTTTTTTTATTGGTTAAGTATTCCTCAAAATCTTTTATCGTTAAAAAAATGCACATTTCTTGTAATTCGTCCCTTTGCCTCACTGTTATTGAGATTCTAAAAAAATTAATAAGATATATATATATATATATATATATATATATATATATATATATATATATATATATATATATATATATATATATATATATATATATACACAGTCGAACCTGCCCTGACGGCCACCTCTATAAGACGGCCACCTGTACAAACGGCCATTTTCCATTTCCCCCCTTGCGTTTTTTCTATATAATTTAACTGTGTAAAACGGGCACCTGTTTAACGCGGCCGCGGCCACCTTATTTTAACACAACCCCTATCATACTAAGCAAAAATACCTGTCTTAGGCGGTCGCCTTAGAGACTCCATTACGTTTTGTCATAAATTGTGCATTGGCCCCTGGCGTTGTCGGCGAGCCGTCATAATTCAATCACCTGTCGTTGTTGTTAGGTAGTCCCTCCAACCATCATGTTGCGTAGGCCCCTCCCACTGTTGACCAATAGCTACCAAATTACAGCTGCTGGTGAGGTAAGTGTGTGATCCCTCATAACCCATAAGCCCCGCCCAGAACTCATACACAAATCGTAAGTGAGATGAGTGGTCACTGTTTACCCGGCCCAGTCTGTAATAAAGTAACAAAGGACGTCAACATGAACTTGTTACAGAAACGTCCCTCGTTCTCCGAGTGGTGGCGACCCATGCGTCTGTTTTAACATGGCACTCGGTCTTCCTTGTCTGATACATTTCATTTTATTGTCACCCTTGTGCAAAAATCAGCGACAAAATAAAAATTACAAACGAAATACAAACCAACAACAACCCCAAGAAGGACAACAACAATGGGGTTACTTTCGATTGGGGCCTCAGATGGGAATGGTTTGTTTTCTTTATCTTGATCAGTCCTGCCTAAGACGGCCACCTGTCTTATACGGCCACTTTTCTCCTTGACAATGGGTGGCCGTCTTACACAGGTTTGATATATATATATCTATATATATATATCTATATATATCTATATATATATATATATATATACAGAGCTGTTAAAGTACTTTTTAAAAAGTACTTAAGTACAAATTTAAGTACAATCTAAAAAATATACAGAGCTGTTAAAGTACTTTTTAAAAAGTACTTAAGTACAAATTTAAGTACAATCTAAAAAATGTACTTGAGTACAGTAAAAGTACTTTCCTATAAAATGTACTTGAGTACAAGTACTTTTTAAAAAAGTACTTATGAGTACATTTTGAGTACTTTCTGCTAATATGCTAAAACACTTCAGCGCTTATGCAAAACATCATATTTTATAACTTATCCAGTATATTTGACAAATTAGGCTATTTATTACTAAAAATGTAAACAGTATACAAAGGATTTGAATATACAATGTACGCACTAAACGGTGGAAATGGTCCGTGAAGTTGAACAAAAAACAACCCAAACGAACAGACGCAACTAGTGGGTAAGTGATATTATGAATAGAACTTGTTTGAGCAAGACAATGTGATCAAATGTAAGTCAGTCCTAGAGGTCGGAAAGTTCTACAGAAAGAGTATCCAAATTGAAAAATGTAGATACAAAGTTGCTCTTAAGAAAACATAAAATTGATGAAAATGGCCCGCTTAGAAATGGACAAGTGCATTGAATTCTTCATTAACAAATCCTCAAGGAATCAATGTAGCCTTAAGCAAAAACCACCCAAAAAAAGTTTAAAAGAAATTTAGGCAGCCTAAAAATTGTTAGATACACATTGAGAACACAGTTTCAGTTTCAATTGATTATAGTGGTCTGACAGATTTTGGTCACATTGTGTAGTCCACGGCGCCAACGGCAAACCAAAATACAATGTACATGTAGTTTCCTAGAGTCTAATTAGTGTAGTGTAACCAAAGATTCTCTACTGCAGTAGTCTCCGCCTAAGATCCCAGTGCTCGGAAGCAAGGAAAATAATGGGATCTTAGTCAACGAAGCCAAGGAAGAATCTACAGTGACCCATGAACTGACGTGACCCCTGGGTGGATTTATGACATATGGCAAGCAAAGAGTGGTCAACCTTGATTACCAATCACAGTGGCATGAGGCATGCCATAAATAATATTATATATACACACTCATTAGCCTATCGTGAGTCTTGAGATCTTTATCTACGTTTATCCAGTTGCCCCTCCCCTTTACCTGTCCAACAATTTTAGCTTTCCATCTCTGATTGAGTTCCCCCCCCCCCCCCCCCAACCTCCTTTGTCATTACGCACCATTACGATGTGACCACACTAATTAAAATTCAGGTTGTCTCGCAAATTCGGGAAAAACTGCTTTCAATGGTCAGGGAAGAGTTCACAGTTTGATGTGATCCCGACTGGAGCGAACTTGTAGGCCCTACCCACCCAGGGACTGATGTAAGTTTAGGTGGTGAGGTCAGATGCGAGTGCGATGTTTGGGGAAAAGAAACGCATCGGTCAGTTCACACCTTGGTGTGATCTCGTCTGGAGCAAACACTGTACTGTTTCAAGGAGTTTTACAACGCTTGTGATCACATTCACGATAATGGCTGATCTTTGAGGCGACGGGCCGTTCTTTGATCTCAACTTTTAACTCTTGGCGGTTGATCGGGTTTTTGCTCCGTAAATTATGATCAGAAATGCCTGCACTTACCCTTTCATTAAGCTACCAAAGTACTCAAAATGTACTTAAATAGTACTCAAAAGTACTTTTATAAAAAGTATCGGAGTACAGTAAAAGTACTACCGAAAATTGTAACGTAAGTACAAGTACCGGAGTACTTGTACTCCGTTACTACCGTTACTACTATATATATACACCAAAAGAACTTTGAAGATGAGCACAAAACCCATTTCTACATTCGTGAACTTTCTGAAAAGGATACACTTTATAGTCCTCTGTGGGGTAGAGAAGTCCAAGATACAATTCTCTCAGATCATTTGCATTTTTGCCCACAGAACTGATCTTTTCCTCCACCACGTCCAGGGATGTGTGCACAGTGTAAAAAAACTTGAGTTCATTGTCTGTCGGAATTGTCTTGATAAACAGAGGATAATTCTGAAATAGAGACAATATATGTGTCACAATGGGGTGGAATCAGGCGCTCGTCAATTTTTTGGCATATGGAGCTATTGGTATCATCTAAAGCCTGTCCATTAGCCTTGCTTTCGCTGAAAACAATACCCATTTATCTTGAATGCAAGTCGAGATATTTGCGATTGAAGGAGGTGGGGTTGCCTGGTTTCAGAGGTAAAATTAGAGAGAAAGTGGCCGCCAAAGTTTAGTTATTTACTTGACTTTAGAGTCTGCAGAAACTGAAAATTTACATCTTTTATGCATTTAATCAACATTTCTCAGTAAAATCCACACTGAAATGTGTTTTTAAAGGGCATGAAAGGTATTGAGCCAAAAAACAAAAATGTTATAAAAATTCCCAAACCTGCTGAAAAAAGCCAGTTTATTCACTTTCATTATTTTGACGAGCGCCTGATTTCACCACGCCGCCTCACATATTCTAACAATCTGAATTATGTAATAACCATATGAGAATGTTTTAAAAAGTAGACCCTAAATATGCAATATGCACACACACATCTTTTATGAACATTGAGCAAAAAAGAAAAATGCAAAAACCTTGAATTGAATTGAAGTAAGAGCTGTATTTTCGCAACATGCCCACATTAAGCACATTAACACTTTCCCTACCACGAGCCACATTTTGCGCTCGCGGACCTGGCCTCACTGGACCGAGAGCCGTAATATACGGCTCGAGGGGCTCGCTATCTATTCCAATGAAAAGACACGAAATTCTCGGCCGATCCACGTTTTCAAAATAATAGAATAGACTTCCTGTTAGCAGATACGAAAGAAAATATAGCACTGAGAGATGATTTTCAGTCATTTCAGTGCTTTTTTTGCCCTCTTCGACACGTAAATATAAGAAAAAAGTACTCCCCTGACTTCAGTATGTTTCATCATACTTTCACTTCTATATTAGGTACACATACAGAACTTTCAGCATTTCCCAGTATCAGAGAAGTGAGAGGCATGGTAGGTCTTGATAATCTAAACTAGGCTTACGCTGGCCTATCACTCGATGCGTTTTGCTTGTCTACGCATGCCACATCCTCCCTATTCAGTCGCTCCGGCCTTCATTGTTGACACACCTGGGCTCTCCCATTCTTTGTTTCGCTAGATCACCAACAAGTTTCTCAACATGCGAGGTTTTTACATTATGTATAATTGGCCTCTATGCACTCTGCACAGCAGCAGCAATATTCTGTTATAACCGACTCGTAAGTTTATCTGATTGCGCTATAGCAGTATTTTATTTACAAAGGTAAAGAAGAGAAAAAAAACAGGGTTTTAGAATAGTGGCTTTATAACAGACTTCTCGTTATTTCAGGACTCATTATAAGTGGTCTTCATAGTATAATATTCCTCGCATAAGCATGTGTAAAAAATAAGTACAAGTAGGCCTACTCTTCCACAACCCCACAACCCCCCAAAATGTACGTGAACTAGAGCATCTATTATTAATCGGCAAATGTTACCCCCCCCCCTTTTGGGAGGACTTCCGTAACGAGCCATCACTATGAGACAGAGTAGAATAGAGGGTTAGGGGTTTAGGGGTTGGGGTAGATCTAGAGGTAGGGTTTGGGTTAGGGTTAGATCTAAGTCTCTTCTTTATTGGGTTTGTTGGGGTGGTCACTCGTTACGAAAGTCCTTACCCGCTTTTATTGATATCTGGTAAATGTGTTCCCTCATTCAGAAAGCCCAGGGGAATCATCACAAGACAGTCGTTGCAATGGAACCAACAGGAAGCACGAGGCAGGGGTAGGCCACGGGAAACATGGAGGAGATGTGTGGAAAAGGACATGAGAGAGATGAAACGAGCTTGGAACGAGCTTGGAAGGATGGCTCAGGACAAATAAATGGAAGGAGCTTGTGTGGCCTATACCCTGCCAGGGGTGGAAGGCATTGATGATGATGATAATGAAATGTGCCCCCCCCCCCCCTTTTATTTGGAACCTCAGAGTACACTATTAACACTTTGGTTTCGTTCACCCACATTAGAACAATAACAGGCCTAACGCGAGTATGTTTACCACCCCAAGCTATAATTGAACAGCTCTCTTCACTTACGCTGCCTGAACCACTGGTTGTCACGACAACACTGCCAGTTGTTCTGTCATTTACAATGCTAGGTCTTTGCCTCTACTAAAACTACGCATAATTATAAAACCCTTAAAGCTTGCTCAGAGGACATTGTCATGGTAAGTGCCAGCCCTCTGCCAAACTCCTCTCATTTCAAGTGAGGGCCATACGCATAGCCACTTCATATCATTGGCCTTCTCCAGTTTTGGTCCCACAAGTACTGGGGATGTCAATAATACTGACTTTTAATTCCAATATCAATGTTTTATTTTATCCGAAAGAGAGCGAGAGATGCGCTGCTATTTTTCAGTACAAAATGAGGAGTAATGCTCCACTTGTTTTTAACAAGAGGGGTTTCAGAGGGGATTGATCCCCTGACCATATAAAAAATAGAAATCTAGGCCTAATTGTTCTTATTGAGAGGTCTGGAGGAGAAGAGAGAGTGGGAAGTGGGAATGAGAGGAGAGGGAGGAATGGCAATGGTCCATGGAGAAAGCCAGGTCAGGAGGAGAGAGATGGGGGCGGAAGGAGAGATAGATATCTAATCTAGATTCTAGATCTAGAGTGAGAGACAGACTGACAGACAAAGAGAGAACGTGATGACTGCAAATGACTGGAGGCGAACATGGACTGAGCTAGATCTATACTTTAATGCTGACAACTAAATAATAAATATTATTGTGACAAACCTCTTTTGCTATGACAGCAACACAGGCAGCCATCTTGTTTCCTTGTGGAAAGTTCCCGTCGTAGTTTTCTTATTTCGCTTTCTTAAATTCTTAACGTCATTATAATTTTGTTTTCACTTGTTTCAGAGCATAAATTTTAAGGTAAGATAAAGGCCTTGACCATTTTGCCATTACTGAAATATTAGACAGTGAAAGAGGCTGAAGCAGGCAGGACAACTTGTTTTGAGAACGTGAACAGGTGGGTGAAGGAAAGACGAGGAATTCAATAATAGGCCTTCAGTATAAATGTGTAGGTTCTTCGAAAGTGAAAGCATCAAAGCAATACACAGAGTGAATGGATGATGGACCAGGACTGATAATTTTCAATTAGAGGTTTTGCACTTGATTATAATTATAATAAGGATGATGAAGTGAAAACACTCTTTTTTTTCCAATATCAAGGTTCTTTACAATATTTGGCTATACTATATATATCCCATAGACGGTTGGGCTAATGCCCTTCACATACACACGTCCCTACTTTTTCTAAATAATCTAAACATCGTAGGCCTATATGAAGGAAAGTTCAGAGCACAGGGTTAGGAAGAAAAGATTTGTTCGGAGTCTTCTTCTTTTTCTTTATGTTCCCCTGCTAGAGATCTCAAGAGTAATCGACTGCTGGTTCTTCAACTTGCAGCACAACTGATTTTTATATATATGTGACCATTTTTTCATTTTTATCCTACTTTATCCTACTTAGTAGGGCCCCTTGCCTTCAGGCAGCCACATTCCAATTTCAAATATTAAAGAACTCTGTTCTTTAACCGACTAGAGTATTTTCAGGTTTGGCAGGAACTTTTAATTTTGCTCAGAAGGCGGCCGAAGCCTACTCCAATTGATTTTAGGACCACCATGGAATCTTAATGTTAGCAAACTGCACACAGGACCTCCGAGATCTTTCTCCCTAATCCGAAAGGGAAGGTGATAGATCTTACCGACCCTAAAAACAGGGGTGTGGCTGAAAGATAGCGGTAAGAAGGAGCTATGAGAAGCAGTAGAAAGAGAAAGGACGTACCCCACATGAGGGTGGAGATGAAAGTAGGATTACAGAACTTGACTAGAGAACATGAAAGGAGGTGAAAGGAGAAAATTTTAGAGAAAAAAATGTTTCTGTCACTGTCACGGTTTCAACCCAAGACCTATTGAATGAGGGGCGAACATCATACCTCTAGACTATGAGATTGAGAGCCCCTGTCTCTGACTGAATTTCTACACAAAAGAAAAGCTGAATGCAACATGGTGGTATTGTAGAAAAGAGACAAAGTCATAAAGTTCCAATTTGCTTTAAATTTACTTTTAATCCTATATATACCATACATGTATTGGTGAATGTGACGCACAATTACTACACACAGTATGCACAGTTCACGGAGAAAGATACTGTTGCGTAGAACATCCACCTTAGAAGGAATTTTAATTTAGAGATCTCGCATTAGTAACAGTCAAAACCTTTTCTATTCAGTAGTCTCAAGGGAAGAACATTACTTAAGTCAGATCTTCTGTACAACCTCAGAATAAATATTTCACTTCAAGATATATACAAAATAGGTCCAATATCAATGAATATATGTATGGAATGAAGCTTTTAATTTGGATTGTTGTTTTAGGATGAGTCCTCTATCATGCCATTGATCTTGAAGTTTAGTTTAGTTTTAGTTTAGTATTGGGTTTTACAGCGCTTGCAACTGCATAAGGTCATATGACTATGAGCGCGCGAAACACAAGTTGGTAGCATTCGCAACAGTTCACTGCACGGTTGGTCAACAATTAGACTTTAAAATGCTAAAATATTAAAATTCGGAGTAAATATATATTTACAATTTAAAACAACTCTAATAAATAACAATAAAAATTTTTAACAATATTGTTTCATTTTATAATTTGCCATTAAGGCCAATGGCCTTCATAAAATTCAAAATTCTGTTGGGACCAACGACGGAAAAAATGTCTTGCATTTTTTTGCATTTTTAATATTTCCCAAGGATCTCTCCAAAGTCTAGACATTCGGTGAAAATGTGTCTAATGGTAAAATCTGAGTTGCATCCAACACAGAACGGCTTCTCATCTCCCTGTAGGAGGTATTTGTGGGTCAGGGCCGTGTGTCCGATGCGCAATCGAGTTAAAAATGACTTCGTCTCTTCTGGAGACGTCCGAAGGATTTCGCTGTTCCAGTTTGGGTTTTTAATATTATACAGTTTGTTATTTTTCTGTTTCTCCCAGTGGCTCTCCCACAGACTGGAGGTGACCTTGGAGTAACATAGTGATCTTTATGAAATTGGAAAAAATACATGAACATGGAGTGCATACTTTTGTACATGTTGCAGTTGCAATAGCAACAATTTTTTATTTTTATTTTAAGGTAATGTGTCTCTACATGTTAAAAAAACTGCTGTTGGTGGAATTTATTTAGCTTTAGTAGACGTTTTACGGCGCTTGCATAATGTCATATGAGCACCAGAAGATTAGAGGTGTTACAAGAGAGTAACAAACATAAAAAAGAAGAGGAGATAAGGACGATAGATGTTCGATAGGAAAGAAAAATGTGGAATATAATTAAATATAAATAAAAGTCAGGAAAATGTATCAAGAGCCAAAAATAAAGTCCAAACTTAATCTGTATTGCCTGGACCTAATCCTAGTTCGAGCAGCTCTAACCTTGGAACTAATCCTGTTATATGTTTGTCCAACTTTGGATTGTTAAAGTTAAATAAATACTTTCAAATGTTGTATTGGTGTCTTTTATACTTGTACTTCAACTTTCACCTGCAAATTCAACCTGTACACAGAGCCCTTTGAGATTTTATCCTTGATTGTAAATGAAAATAAATACTTTCTGCTCTCATGGACATATTTAGGGACATTCAGAGTCAACCGTGGCTAGGTGTCAATATTAAGACAAAGGCACTTGTAACATAATTTCGTTGAGCCAGAACTGAATTCATGTCTTCTGAGTGTAACCACAAAGAACCTAAGCACTACTTCAATTTTCATCCAAAACTACGATGACTATGGCAATCACATTAACCTTGCTGTGTGTTACTTGTTATTGCATTATCATTTCCAAAACTTAGGACCTGAAATAAAATCTCTAACTTACCGGTACTTATAATATGACTTCGATCTACATTATAAAACTTTTGGTGTATGCCTGTTTTCTATGAAAACTATGGCCATCTTGAAAATAAACAATGTCAATGGAATTATTGGAATAAATCCCATAGGTTTTTTTTTATTCTCGACCAAATTTTCCAAAATTTGAAAAGAGTGTTCCTCCACCTAGGAAGATTTTCAGAATCTTTTAAAATTTAAAAAAAAAGTTTTTAGAAATTTTACAGGCATATGTAGTAGGTATAGTATGTAGTATGTTAGCATGTAAACCTTCATATTAAATTTTTTTTTTTTTCCTGTATGTGTACAACTTGGTGTGTATCCAGTAAAGGTTTCATGAAAGTTCCATGCAGATAGTATGAAAAATTTTTAAAGTAGTGGGAAAAAAACTGTACGCAAATATTGTTTTAAGAAAAAGCCTGTTTCTTGCAGAAATACTTGACTATTTTCATGTTTTCAAAGGCAATTTACGACATGAATGAGAGCCATTTAGTGGTTTCTAAATTAAATACTGGTCCTGTCTTAGCAGGGTTTTTTTAGAATATATATAGAAGTAGCTGAACTTTAATAACTACATGTAGTAAACAATTCAAATTTCATAATTTGACCCAAAATCAGCAATTTGAAGGGGTGCCTCTATCCTTAGTCGAGTCTTCAAGGCATTCTGCCTGCATATGGCTCTATCCTATCAAAGATGGATGTTACATTCAGAGATCCCACCTCATTTATTATATTTCAGTGTTGAAGGCACATTAAACACATACCATCATACTGCAGAAAACCATTAACATCTAAAAACTGACAGGGTTTTCAAATAAAAACAGAACATGACTGAATGAAGAACAAGACTGAATGAAGACAAACAGGCTTTGAAATATAAGAAAGTTGCAAGCACTTTGAACATGTATCTACAATCATCAACAAAAGCTAGAATCTTTACGTAACATTTCAGCCACATATGACCAACATACATAACAAACAAGTCAGATTAATCAAAAAAAAGTTTAATCAAGAGTCATGTAGGCTAAGACAAGCCCATTGATGTGGCACATTACAGAGACACACTTTGAACCATTTAACGAGAAATCATCATTACAAGAGAGTTAACGACTCAAATGACATAAAGCTACAACCCTCTGTGCAAAACACTGGTCATTCAACTCAAAAGACAATGACTCAAATCCCTGTTTGTACACATGCAAAACGTTAGAGATATCTATTAAAGAAGTCCTGCATAATTTTCTACCCATCATAAGCCTGTGACAGATTTATTTCCAAGGGACAACTGGGACAGTGATGCTGTATAAAAGGGGGAGTCACAGGTTTTAAAAAGGATTTCGTGATACTCTGACAAATCACTCAAAAAAATTCACCTCACAGCACAGAATCATTGTAACCCTTTTTCCCACTAGCTCATTGAAATGTGGACAAGAAATAATGAATTTCTTTAAGCCTTTCATTTGCAATACTTAACAAACTTTAGAGCAACCTTACCATCTAATTAAGATTTATATGTATAACTTCTTTTAGACCATTCTGAAAATCTATGTCATTACACAATATTAAAAATCAAATTGACAAAAAAAATGCCCCTCAAAGGACACCAACCGCCGCAAAACAAAGAAATTCCACTCCAGCAAGAGAAAGTCTGATAGCTCAGTCAAGCTTATTCAACCAAACTGCACAGCTGTATGAACAACTGACAATCTGACCCCCCCCCCCCCTTTACACCCTCCCACCTCCCTTCCAAAAAAAAAGGAGAAAAAAAAACCCCATTCAGTCTTGTAAATGCCATCCACCTCTCAATGCTAAGACCAAGTGAAGAACAGATCCTCCAGCAACTTTGTAATCACTGGCAGTCTTTTCATCGTTCCTGGGGGGGAAAAAAAGAAAAAATATAAATACTGCATTCTGCATTTTAATAGCAGGTTTGACCCAAATGCCTGCCACTCAAAGTCTGGTCTGTTTACAGCGGCTAACAGACTCACCCATTTTGCGGTCGAAAACAACAAAAAAGAAAAAGAAGGATAATCCTTGGATCCTGGAATGTCAGAACTCTCCACAATAGAGAGAAGACCAACAGACCTAGTGCGAAGATCTCTTTGAAACTTTCAGTATTTCTAAAAGAAACCTATACATCTCTTATCTATTATATATATATATATATATATATATATATATATATATATATATAAATATATATATATAAATATATATATATACAATCGAACCTGCCCTGACGGCCATCTCTATAAGATGGCCACTTGTACAAACGGCCACTTTCCATTTCCCCCCTTTCGTTTTTTTCTATATAATTTAACTGTGTAAAACGGGCACCTGTCCAACGCGGCCGCGGCCACCATATTTTAACACACAACCCCTATCACACAAAGCAATAACTCCCGTCTTAGACGGCCACCTTAGTGACTCCATTACGTTTTGTCATAAATTGTGCATTGGTCCCTGGCGTTGTGGGCAAGCCGTCATAATTCAATCACCTGTCGTTGTCGTTAGGTAGTCCCTCCAACCGATCATATTGCGTAGGCCCCTCCCACTGTTGACCAATAGGTAACAAATTTTCAGCTGCCATTGGGGTAAGCGTGTGATCCCTCATAACCTATAAGCCCCGCCAAGAACTCATACACAAATCGTAAGTGAGATGAGTGGTCACTGTTTATCCAGTCTGTTACAACATTTCGTTTTATTGTCACCCTTGCACAAAAGCAGCAACAAAAGAAAAAAAAGAAGAAAAAACACAACGAAAACAATAACAACAACAGCAATGTGGCTATCTTCGGTTGGGACCTCAGAAAAGAATGGTTTGTTTTCTTCATCTTGATCAGTCCTGCCTAAGACGGCCACCTGTCTTATACGGCCACTTTTCCCCTTGACAATGGGTGGTCGTCTTACACAGGTGTACTATATCATTGTCATGGAGAAAAGTAAGTGGCCGAAAAACACAGGTGGCCGTCGTAGGCAGGACTGATCAAAATGAAGAAAGCAAATCATTCTCTTCCGAGGTCAAAAACGGGCCTGGTCTCAAGATTAGAACTGCCGTACGGCTAATTTAAAAGAGGCTTCGCTTTCTTTTGAAAAAGAGTGGTGGGTCGAGTAAGTTTGTTTTTTTGTTTTGTTTTTTGGTAACCTTTCCTTTTGTTGCTGATTTAGTGCAAGGGTAAAAAAAAACACGAAATATTATGTGAGTAAAACGATGAAGACCGAGTGCCAAGGTAAAACAAACACAAGGGCCGCAACCACTCGGAGAACGAGCGACGCTTCTGTCGCAAGTTCACGTCAACGTCCATTGTTACAGGTTAGGTAAACAAAACAGTGACCAGTCAGTTCACACATGATTTGTGTACGAGTTGTAGGCAGGGCTTATAGGTTACGACGGATCACACGCTTCCCTCACCAGCAATTGAAAATATATTGTTAGGCCTACCAATTGGTCAACCTGGGTAAACAATCAATGGAGGGATTAACAATAACGACAGGGGAATGAATTATGACGACCTGTTCACAGCGTAAGGGGCCAATTCAAAATTTATGACAAAGCGTCCGGCAATGATGAGTGACCACGCCTGGCCGCCTGAGACAGGTAAATTTGACAGTGGGTTGATAAAATAAGGTAGCCGCGGCGAACAGGTGACTGTTTCACACAGTTAAATTATATAGAAAAAACGCAAGAGGGAAAATGGAAAGTGGCCCTTTGTACAGGTGGCCATATTCCCTCTTCCTCTAAAAGATTTATAAAGTTATTTCTCAGCACATAAGGCAGATACCATATGTGCATGTGTGCCAAAAGAAAGGTACCAAAAGTAAGATTTTAACCATTTTGAGTTAGGGGTAGTACCTAATAAGACATTCAATGCTGAACACAGTGGGGTTTTTTAATTTTTGAAATATCTCAATTAGTTATTGAGATATTGCACATTTTGCGAGGTAGGGTATAAAGATCTAATTTTGAGAAAACAAGCTTTTAAGTTTAGAACCCATACAAAGTTGATAAAAACGACGATTCAATTGTTTCTAATGTACTTATTCATGGAAAATTCAATTTGGCATTCAGTTGACATAAAGATAAGATAAGATAAGATAAGATACATCTTTATTGTCCAGATCCTGGCACATTGGTTTGGTGTTCCACCACGAGTACACACACACACACACACGCGCACACACACACACACACACGCACGCACTCACACACACACACACACACACACACACACACACACACACACACACACAAACACACACACACATGTACACACGTGCACGCACATGCACACACAAGTAGGCTTACAATCACATACATAATATAAATGAGCAGCAACATAAACAATAATAATCGTAAGCTAGATACACACTCAATGTTATTTTGATGCATGCTCTAAGGTCGTAAGTACACTAAACAAGATAGATGGTTAAGATGGAAGCATTTTGATAGATGATGGTAAAAATGACCTTCTGTATCTTTCTTTGTTACAGATCAGAAGCATGGGTCTTTTACTTCAGACTGATGTTTTTATTTGAGGGAACAAGGGATGTTTGTTGTCTAAAAAGATGGAATTAATTTTCTTAGTGCAAGCTGTTATGTACAATTCATCCAAGTAGTGAAATGAAGATGTTGAAATTTTACATGCTTTCCGTATTAGTCGATTTAATTTTTCTTTATCTTGTTGTCTTGTGTTCCCGGCCCATGCTGTTATACAAAAATCGATAATACTTTCTATGGTTGAATGGTAGAACATGGACATCAATGTTTTATCAACTTTAAAATACTTTAGCTTTCTAAGAAAAAATAGTCTTTTGTTCACTTTTTTATGCAGGAGAGACATCTATATCATGATTAAAATTCAATGGTAAAACATAGCAGGGAAGAGAAAATGTGCTTCAAAAATAGATTTTAACACCTTTTAGTTAGTTTTAGTAGAGGTTTTACGGCGCTCGCAACTGCATAAGGTAGGTCATATGAGCGCCAAGGGGTGGATGTCAACAGAGAAATCCTTACAGGGAATCAGACTTACTCTGCTCACCTCTCTCGCTTCAACAGCACAAAGTCTGCTTCGACTATCAAGGCACCCCGGAAATAGTGGGTCACAAGAGTGTGAAAAACATACAAAAGAAGTAGAGGAAAAGTTACAATAGTAAGGATTAGAAAAGAAAAAGCAGTAGTTCCCTGTTGTAGATCAGGCAGTTATGAGCATAACATTGATGAATCTGCCCATTTACAATTCTACTGTGCATGAACGAGAAATGTCCCCCCTTTGGGAATGGCCTAAAGACACTTCAGTCAGTGGCACTGCCCCAGGGGGTATAACACCTTTTAAAAGCAGTTTCCATTATCTTTTTAAAACATACCCTACCCTCGAAATAAAATATTTTGAAGTCAAATCAACAAAAACTCTTTTAACACATTGTTAAAAAATGGTGGAACTATCTTTTTTTTTTGTCAGGAAACATTTTGGTCAAAAAAGTGATTTTTTGTCATTATCAGCCTGTAGCTCTAAATGGTCTGTGGCAACTTTTGGTACCTTTCTTTAGACACACACACATATATAAAAACTGAGAGCTTAACAAATACAATGGAGAAGTATGGATTGTCTGTATGTGTGTGAATAGATACTTGCCCATGAAAAAAGAGAAATGAAAGGAACACACATCACTGACTACTCACATTTGTTTTCCGCTGAAAATAAGCCTTTGCTGTTGGGGAGGGATGCCTTCTTTTTCTTCAACACGCTCCTTGATGCGCTCAACCTTAAAAAAAAAATGAATGCAAGAAATTCATTTAACTTGATTTTGAAATTAAAACACAACAAAGATTCGTATTAAAATCATTTCAAGCTAGAAATTTTAAAGAATGGATTAGTGGTTTAGCTATGCTCATGAAGGGTGAATAGATTATGAATGCAAGAAACATTGCATCCCTTGGTGTCTTAATACATTCAAGCCCTATTCACAGCTCGAGAAATATCACAAATTAACATAAATTTTAGTTTGCAGTATGACAGGCCTAATTTCTAAGAAAGAGTCGTTGAAACTTTCTGCAATGTAGGCTCTCACAGAAAATGTTCTTGCGTCCTTTTTTTGTCATTACGTAAAATGACTTGAGTAAAAAGAAGACATCTTTAAAATATAGTGTAATTGCATAAAATTAGCATATATCCTTGTAAATATCAGCAGATAAATGGCAAAAGAATGTGGTTTTTAAAAAAATAGAATTCAATTAAATTTTTTTACTTTTATCTGGCGACCCGAGAAATCGCAGTCTTGCGGACGTTTTTCATCAAGTTTCGCGATAAACCCACAATTTTTTTCACAATTTTCCGCACTTTTAGGCAAAAATACATCAACGTTTTAATTTTAACAGAATTTCTAATACGAAATGGTGTGAGTACAGAGTCGATACGTAAATCGTGGTATAGGCCCAGCTCTAGCCTACTGGGCCATTCTCTAAAAGCTATAACCGGAAATTCAGGCCGGAATACAAACAGGACTCCACAAAGAAACGGCAAGTGCCACAAACTGAGACATAGATCTAATGTGTGTAAGTGTGCGCGTATGTAGTGTGCATGTAAGGTGTGCGTGAGTGTGTGCGTGTATGTGTGTATGTGTGTGTGTGTGTGTGTGTGTGTGTGTGTGTGTGTGTGCGTGAATATTGTTCGTACATGACCCATTTATGTAAAGCGCATAGAGCTGTGTTCACAAGACAGTGGGCGCTATAGAAATGATCTACATTATTATTATTATTGTTTATAGAAAAGTGTTTTTAGCTGTATTTTTCAATTTAATTTAGTGTTAAAACTATAACATACAGGTATTAAAACAGAAAGTATCTTAAATAGATCTAAATAGAGATTACAGGATTATCGAAGGTTTCAAGAAAAAAAGAAACAGGATCCGAATTGATTGGAGCAAAAGGTAATTTTGCATTTAGAGGTTGTTTCAAAAATCTCCCATCAAATTTTTTGTTTTTATAGACTAAACCTCATACTACACTTCTAGATCTTTGCATGAACCAAGTACCCGGTATGTACTAAATTTGGTCAAATATTATGCCTTCATTTAAAAGTTATTACGAAAACCGAGGGTTCCGCTATTTTGTGTCACGCTGTACTATTATTATATTATTATATTTGGTCAATAACTTTATTGTTAACGTACTCGTGTGTCATTACAGAGGAATTTGGATTCAACAAGCTCGGATTCAACGAGAACTCAGATTCAACAAAGGAGATGGATGTCACTGCGGTTTTTTTCTTCTTTAAAATCAATCAAAGTAACCCGGATTCAACTAACACTTAAATCAGCAATCTCGGATCCAACCACCTCGCTTCCAGGGTGAACAGCCCAAGCAGACGTGGCTTCGCTAATTTTTCTCCCATAACGAACTTTATCTATTCCCGGAAACCATCCATTGCACCTGCATCGCGAACCATTATTCACTTAGCCGATTGCATGCGACCAATCGGCGGCCGTCTTTCATACCAACACATGCGTTGTTGGCGAGCGCACATGTCTACTCTAGCGTGTGTCGGGGTCGAATGGGCCGCCTGCACACATGTGACTGTGAGTGAGTCCGGGGGGATCATCGGTTCAGGCATGGAATATCGCAGATACAAATGCGTCACAGTCTTTTTTCCCCCCCCCGGAAACTGATCATTATTACAATAAGTTAGTCTTGACATAGATCTACGTAATGAATTGTGTGCCAGACTATGGAATCAAAATTTGACGTATGCTAGGCTCTACATAGCAACACAACTTTTTGGCAAACAATCGAGATGACACAGGCGTGCATTTGAACGAATCGATCTTTTTTTCTTTTTTGCAAAGCTCATAATATGCAGGAATTTCAGGCACCACTTGTGACTTCCTGCTCAGTGCCTGTAATTATCTACACAAAACCTTATGTTTGCTATAACGAACACTCGGATTCAACGAGATTTTAGGTCAGGCCCGGCAACGTCGTTGAATCAGAGTTCCACAGTACTAGTAAATGTTGATAATAAGATATCATAAAATTTGTATTGTGCATCATGAATTGTAAAAAATAAAAGGAAGTTCTGCTTTAATGCTACTCAAATTGTCCTGTTTTTTTAACTGAAAATTTTAAGCCCGTTTTATTGTGCCTGGGATGGGAAAGTTGCAATTGTTTTGCAATTTTTAGGCAGTTTACCTTGCAATTTTTTGCAATTTTTCTACTTTAAAAATGCAATTTTCCACAGGGCCAGCTTTATTGCCATGTTACTCAGTTTCAGCAAATGCATCTTGTGGTACCTTTCCTCAGGTACACGCAAACACATTGAGATACATACAGAGACATACAAATGCTGATTTATACACTTATAAACAAAGATACACACCGATGGTAACATAGACTGAAAAACAGACAGAAACACATACACAACCTTAAATCTCCCTTTCCATCCAACCTCAAAACTAAAAAACAAAAAAACAAACAAAAGAACAACAACAGAAAACTGGGAATGTTCTGTTTTCTTCATTTTCATCTGTTCTACCCAAGATATCCACAGGTCTAAGACAAAATCACATATAGTATTTTAGCAAACATTTTTCTCTATAACAATGGGTGGTTGACAAGGGCAATTTCAAATGTACTTTTAAAAAAATAAACATGCACAACTATTAAATCTTTTAATTGTAACACAAAGATATGATAAAAAGTTATGAAATTTGAAAAACAAAGCCCATAAATTGACTTGTTCATTGTCTTGCCATTAACTTAAAATGTTGTCCGACATTCTCACCTTGTCTGTTGGCTCAATGTCGATTTCGATCTGAAATTTGATCAAATTAGGTGTAAATGAGTCATTACTTACTTTGAAAAGCAAAATATTTTTTTTATGAAACACAAAAATATAAGACAACAGGCAGTATACAGTATTCAACTTTTAGTGCAAGGGTTAAAAAAAAGTGACTTTTAAGCAACTATTTTTTTAAAAGTAAACTGTATAGAGGTAATAGGTATACACAAAATAACAGTTTTTGTAAACAAAATCCATTAAGACAAAAGAGAATTCCCCTGAAACTAATTCTTTCGCCAAAGACCAACAAAATTATCAAGAAAACTTTGAACTCATTTTATTCAGATGGAATCCCTTTCTTAAGCTTTTTTTATATAAAAAAGTGCTAAAACCATTTTCACAGAACTTTCCAAATTGAATTCGGTCCCAACTGGTCAAAATTAAGTATTGTATGACACTTTTATTTAAACCTTTGAGAAAGAGGACTCACCAGGGGTGACCTCCAAATACCCACTCATTAATTCTAAAGTCACTAAATAATCTGATGAGTCTACTTTTATATAAGAAAGACAACATGTTTGGTTTGTAAGGGCAATACACACCTCTTTTCCAGTGAGAGTCTGAAACATAAGAAGAGTAAAAAAAATATATAAGTTCCCTTCAGACAAATGGAGAACTTCATACAGAGTCTCCATGTTTATCCATTCCTTTCAATTTGAATATGATTGGACCTGAGTCAGACTAAGATTTCCTTAACTGAGGAGGCAAGATGAACTGGTGAGGTTTAATCAATAAGTAACTTAACTGCTTACAACAAAAAATGAAATCCCTATACAGTCCAACTTAGAATCAAATTTTAACTCATTGAGACATATTGCTTGTCATCATTTGACAACATTTGAAGACGCACCTTTACTATGGAGTGTGGGTTCGAGCTCCATCGAGCACTTTAAATATATATATCTAAAATGAATACTACTGGATCGAAACGATCACTTTAGCGAGCAGTGAGAGAGAGAGGGAAAATGAAGAAGGAATAATCCTGTAACGATGCAGTGGAATCAGGCGCTCGTCAATTTTTAGGCATGTGGAGATTATGGTATCATCTTAAAGCTTTTTCATTTGCCTCGCATTGATGAAAAAAATATCCATTAATCTTGAATTCAAGTCAAGATATGTGCGATTGAAGGAGGTGTGGATCACCCGGTCTCAGAGGTAAAATTAGCAAGAAAATGGATTTTCAGTAGGCCTACCATCCACAAAGAACGGTGTTCTTTAATCGACATTCAATACGAAGGTAGGTGTTTAGCCGAAAAACAAAAAATTCTATAAAAATTCCCCAACCTGCGGAGAAATGCCAGTTTCTTCACTTTCCTTATTTTGACGACCGACGGATGATTTCACCACACTGCCTCACAATTTACAATGGTGAACTGAGCATTGGGGCCAAAACCAGAGTATCTATAAGACATAAGTGAACTGACGGCTGATGCTTTTGCCCCGTAATCCAGCCCTTATCTACTATGTTTTGAGGACTAAATGGCATATTTTTTTGTTGCCGAACACACTCATGCATCACTTCTAAAATCTTTCAAAATCAACGGTTTACAAGAAAATATCAAACCTAATTGCAAAACATCAAATTATGGTTAAATAACAGCCCCTCCCCCCCCCTCCCCCCGATACTCCCACTCATATTTTTATTAGGTTAGGGGGGGGGGCATGCCTTACTGTTTAAAAAGAAATATTGGGCCCTACTATACCGCTCATTTTGTACTGATAAAAATAGCAGACAGTGACGCCTCCGCTTCTTTTCCAGCTCCAGTTCCAGCTACCCAGCCCGGGTTTGGCCCCAATTCTTATCCGCCTTCATAGCGGCAAAAGAAGAGCATACAGCACATCTCTCGCTCTCTTTCGGATAAAACATTGTATACCAAGTATTTAAGTCAGTGTATCAATTTTCGCAGTGGCTATTTATTATAATTTATACGGTCCTGTAAAGATGGTTCTCTGAGCTATTTTTACGGTCATGTAATGACGGTCTTCAGGATTATTTTTACGGTCCTGTAAAGAATGTTCTCTGAGCTATTTTCACGGTGAGGAGGCTCTTCTGTTACTGGTCTCTTTCATTTTCAACCTGGGTCTGCCAATATCTTACAATCAAGACGCTCAGAGTAGATAAAAGCGTACAGATTGCAATCCAGCGCCCATCGAGCAGTGCGAGTGATGTCCAAATTGACCGTGCATCAACTTCGCAGAAATTCGCTATGATTTGCGCCCAGATAGGGGATGCCACATTAAACCAATACTATACAAAACTCGAGGAGGGCCATAATTGTGATTGTTCTTTGTATTCACTCTTCTGGAAGTCTTACAACACACTCTCTCAGCTTTACAAGCGACTGATTCGGGCACCGCTCAGCAACATTCAATGTCACCAGATCCTACTCCTAGCAGTGGTAAACAAGGCAACCGACTGGCACTTCCAGTGATAAAAATACGGGCAAAAAGAACAAAAGCCCTGAAAATGCCAGTCTTAATAGGGAAGGACTTCCGTAACGAGCGGTAAGATTGAAGAATACCGGACCAGTGGACTGACTTTGCCGATGTCTCAACCTTAGTTTAAGCCTTAGGAATTCATAATTTTCCCGTTTTTAATATCTCTCAATGGAGAATCTCGGACCAGTAGATCTATTCATTGAAATTTTGTCAGGGGGGGACCCCCCTGAACCCCCCCTCCCCCCTCGTCCATCCCAACCATCCGCCCCACCTACCCCACTTTCTCGCGCAATAATGTACGAGTGGTCCGGTATTCTTCAATCTTCCCCCCCTACCCCAAGCCCTCAATTTTGCTCTGTCTCAGTGGTCGCTCGTTACGGAAGTCCTCCCCTTAATAGTAATAGTAATAGTGTAAAATATAAAAAGTGGCCCTCCTGCCTGTATTCAGGGAAATGATAGAATCTAGGCTGGCTCGATTGAACTTTGGTGGTACCACTGTGTTAACATGTATCAATGCGCACTACCCATAACAACAGTTGGGTCCACCAAAGTTCAATCTTACCGATCTGATAAAGTGTAAAATCATCGTCGTCAAAAAGTCTTGGTCTGCTTATAGTACTCTTAGCTTGGACTTGGCTTGAACTCGGGTCTTGAGAATGAGTCAGTCCGCTATCAATCATTTCAGCGCAAGGCCTACCTTTACTTTGATCAGCATGGTTATGGATGTTGTCCGCCTTTACAAACAGGTGATCACACTGTAAACTATTCCTCTCGTCTCAGTAAGAGTAACAATGCTGGTCTCTCGAGTCAAAAATAAAATCTTGCGTCGTCCCTGAGTCTGAGTGAGTGCTCTTTTGTGAACAATAACGACCAACGGATGTATTCCATTTACTTCCTGTCCACTGTCTCCTTCTGTGGCGCTGTTCCGTTCACTGAAACTGAATGAACACTATCCTAGTCTAGATCCTGCATCTGCGTTTGTCGCGGCCACGACCCCTCGAATCGCGGCTGCGATTTTTTTATTTTTTCAAAAAAACAAAAGAAAACAAAAACAGACCACCAGAGGGAGATAAAAAATTGGGAAAAAACGGGGTCAAAGAATATTTTAAAAAGAAGCCTAACCTCCTTAGTTTCACCTCCGCTTCCCTTCGTCTCTTTCTCACTTGTTGATACCATGTTGATTTGTTATTTTTATGTTGAAAATATACATTGCACACTATTTATATTGCTGTTTTTCTTTTATTTTTCTCTCTTTGTTGCATTTTAATTTGCTTTTGTCTTAATTTGTTTTCTTGTTATTGTTCTGGTGTGTCTTCTTCTTGTGTCAGTAGTCGGTCTTGGTGGAGACACGCTCCAACATAACACACTTATATTTTTTTTAAGAAAGGTGGGAACAACATCAAATTAAATGACATCACGCTATAATATTATAACGTGACGTCATTTAATTTGATGTTGTTCCCACCTTTCTTTAAAAAAATATAAGTGTGTTATGTTGGAGCGTGTCTCCACCAAGACCGACTACTGACACTGGCAGGCCCTTTGTGTATGATTCCAATATTTTTATATATGGTATCCTGTATCTTTTCTTGAATTACTCACGTTTAGGGGTAAAACGGCCAATCTCCAGAAAGGTGGACGCACGCCATTACATGTATTTGTTATTTTTGTGCTTCTTAGTGTGCTGTTCTAATTTTGATTTCATTCTGTTGTGAAACCTTTATTTTTCACGTTTTTACACTCTGTGTGACTACAAGTGATATTCTGGGTGCAAAAAACTGAACACAAGAAATTCTGGTACTTTAAATTAAGTTACACCTCTCTCAACAATATCGCTTATAGACGTTGTCACAGAGAGGTGAACACTTGAAAATGTTAGGCAACTTTTAGACAAAAAAATGCAATAATTTTAAATGCAGATGCCAGTCTAGTGCCAGCTCTGCGACAGACAAAGGCGATCATGGTTCTCCATTTATTCCTTTGCTCGGATGCTCTTAAAAAAGCTACGTTTCACTGATCTTTCCCTGTTACCCATTTGTTTAGATTTCCTCAGTAGGCTGCTCTGGGCCTACACCTGCTTCGTTTGCCTTCAATATTGCCAGTATTAAATAATACCGGAGGCCACGATCATAGGCCTACACTTTTAGACCAAGGCTATAGCTCGTTCACTTTCGTCTGACCGCGGTTAAAACGGGATAGAAACAAATCTCTCTGTTTACTCGTTCTGGGTCTTTGCACGCCGGTCTAAAAGTTAAGCGACCAACAAAATCCAAAAGGCCATTCATAAAAGTCATTGCAAACTAAGGTTCCAACACGTTTTCTTTGATGCAGGCCTAAAGCAGGTAAAAAAAATAATAGGGAATTTAGAGCATACACCAAAACATTTAAAAGTTAACATTTTTTTCTTAAACACCACTCTTTAACGGGGAAACACAATTCAAGAGACACAGTGAGTATGGGCGAAAACATAGACAACGCCGATTTCGGAGACTGACTCAGTAAGCGCCGACAGGTATAAAAATTCCCTTATGATTTTCAACCTGCCCCACATAGAGCTGGCAGACCGGCTTTAAGCTCGGATCGACGCTGTCTGCTTTATCGGAATCCAAACTACATTCTTATTACGCCGAACAAGTGGGAAAGGCATCTCGCTGCGCAGTCAACTCGCGACCGCAGAGCTTTCTTCTCGTATTTCCATTATGAAAATGTGACTTCTTCTTAAGCTCACTCTTTGTTGTGAAGTGCTATCACTGTTATTAAAAATGGAGATGCGACAAGAAAGCACTGAGGTCGCGAACTCTCAAACTCAATGCCGTCTCGCCCTCGCCGTCGCCAACTCGGGTTGAGCGGTTTGTGTGACGTCACCCGACTGGACAGGGGGCAATTTTAAATAGCCATTTCAGAGCTGGTGCTTCACGGTAGACAAAAAACTTTTTACGTTTTTGAAATCAACGTCGTCAAATTAGGGTGGCATCCGAGCAGAATTAGGCCTACGTTTTAAGAAATATCTTAAGTTTCGGCTTTCTCTATGTTTTCGCCCTATTTTCCGAGACTTACGTGGAGTCGTGGAGACGTCAAGACAGCCAAGGGGATGAAATCGACAAGCTTACACCAGAGACCTAGCTTAACATTGCTAGGTCTCTGCTTACACTGAAAAGTGGGGGCAGGACCGTGTCGCTGTCTCAAAATGACCAATTTGGAGGCTAGGCAACCGTGTAAGGGCCCGTGTCCATTGCGAGGGACACCAACCAGCCCGATTCCGTTCGTCTCTCGGAAAGTCGGTAGTTGAAATGGAGCACCAGGTTTTTTTTTCGAAGAAACCAGTGAAAAGTCCGTTTAGTTGTGTCAACAGACACATGCGACACGCCCCGACAATAGACGAGTCGGTTGGACAGCCGCTTGCTCAATTTTAGCAAGACCGGGTCGTGACTCGTGAGCCATAGGCCCCGTCGGAGCTATAAAAATTTTAATTTTGAGTTCGGATTAAAATTCTAACGTCATATTCGTAATCAGCGCCTCAAATTTAGCTAAGTGTATGCTCAAACCACCTGGTTTAAATACATGATTAACAATTTTACCAATTTTCCTTTGAAAACCCATTAATTTCTCATTCCCACCTTGGGTTCATTGGCTCGACTATTTATAGCCCTGTACCGAGGACACAGCCTTGAAACACAGTGTGTGGAATAAAACGGCCAGTAGGCCAACAGACGAGACGTGTCTTGTCTGAACTGGTGGACACACAAGACGGAAACGACCCAACCGATTTTCTTCCTCCCGACAAAAGATCGGGCCGTGTCCGTCTCAGTGGACCCGTGGAGTAAGTCGTTTACTTCAGAGCTCCCGTGTATGTGTATGCATCCAAAGAGCGGGTTTTTAATATAGGGAACAAAGAGAAACACTTTTTTTATTGCTGGGTCAAGATTTATAAAAAAAAAAATGTTTGGTCACTGGCCTGCAGAAGTGTCATGCAAAATTTTGTGGGCATTTGTAAATTCCTCAATGAGCTAGAATTGTTTTTTAACGCTGCGAGACAAAAGTGAACAAGCTATAACTATAACAGATTGTATAATGGGCCTGGCTTTCTAAGATAGCCTAGATCCTGTCTATAATTACGAAAGAAGGAAATGGGGAAAAAAGTGTGGGTGGGGTGAGGGAAAGGTCTGACATTTGTTTTTTACTAAGCTGTGTTTATCTCACACTGGGAACGGAGATGGCAGAAGTGCTGAGTATAGCCTGCACCTTGTAAGAATTCGCCTACCGGTACTGAGAAGTTACAAGAGTGTTCGCTTAGATTAAACAGAACATTATAACACGTACACGTATTTAAGGTAATAATTTAAAGATTATCTAGATATACAAGCAAAGATTTTACACCAAATAATTTGCTCACTCCTTTCAAAAAATGCCCCTAGGCTATCTGGTTTTATCGTAGACCTTGCTTTTGCCAAGTTGAAGGAGTTTCATTTGCTTCGGGTGTCTATCAGGAATAGATGAGTGACCTATTTTGATTTTGAGGGACAATATCGCCCCTGCTTATGAGCTGAAAACAAAGAATTAATAAATGAAAAAATAAAAACGTAGACAATACATAATACATGTACAACGAACTGATGTCACCTTTTGACAAACAAAGTAGGGCCTATAAGACGTGAAAATTTGTCCATCAATAGTGAAGGACAAATGAGGGCTAAAAACATTAATGGGCTTCATATTTTAGGCTACGCATAACCTAGATCTATACTGCAGTCACCCTACCCCCCCCCCCCCTCCTCTCTGTCTCTCTCTCCTTCGACTCTCTCATTCTCTCCTTTCTCCCACACACACACACACACACACACGCACGCACGCACGCACACACACACACACACACACACACACACACACATGCGCGCGCACACACACGTTAGGCCTACCGTCCCAGCAGACAATAAATATAATATACCGTATATATAGGTTATCCGGAATCGAATTCACATCTTCTAGGTGCGACGGCGAATTTAAGCTCCTAACAATAAAGGCCTACAATTACATGTATACTAGCGCCAGTAAGCATCCGTGAACACACATTATATGAACACAGACATGCACACACACACATACAAACACTCACACACACACAAACAATACACACGCACATACATACACACTCACTCACACACACGCGCGTGCAGATAACTTTTACACACACACATGCATAACATGCTCACAATAGTCGTAGGCTTCTGTTTAAATGTTGCCAATAAAGTTTTAGTTCTGTTTTGCTTTTTATTTCTTTTCTCAATCAACGATTCTGTCATCTACTTATCTCCGCCAAAAATCACATTACTGGTACCTTTGTTCATTCATGATGTATTCTAAGTATTTGGTGATTCATGGAGGAGTAGCCGGGGTATGATGGCTATGAGATAGACGACATGTGTGTCATTATTCTAATTAATTGATGTACTACAGGAGTTAACACTTATAATGTTACCATTCGCTGTGGTGTAAAAAAAACATCTTCTCGGGGTTTGTCTTAGTCTTACCCCAGGTCCACAGAGATAAATGGGGTTAATATAAGTTAAGTTCTACTTGAAGTTCTTGCTATCAGTCTTGCCTTTTTTTTATCAATAAAATTAGAAAAATGAGTTCCCATAGATCTATACATGAGCCAACATACGTGCGTATTTGAGAAACAAAACTTGGTTAAGTTGACAGTTGAAAGAGAGAGAGAGAGAGAGAGAGAGAGAGAGAGAGAGAGAGAGAGAGAGAGAAAGAAAGAGAGAGAGAGAGAGAGAGAGAGAGAGAAAGAGAGAAAGCGAGCGAGAGAGAGAGAGAGAGAGAGAGAGAGATATTCCTTGAATTTGAATCAATATTGTAATTGCAAGTGTGTATGGCAAAATGTGTCTCCAACTCCAACAACTGGGTGTGTGCATGAGTTCATATGGGGCTCTCGTGGCCTAGAGGTTAAGGTGTTGGCCTCTCATTCAAAGGTCCAGGGTTCGAATCCGGGTAGCGACCGAAAAAATTTATTCTTAAAATGTGTCTCCTTTCACCTCATTTCCTGCTCTCTAGCAATGTTCTGTCGTCTGCTTTCGTCTCCTCTTTCTGCCCCCATCCCCTCACCTCCTTTGCCCCTTCCTCGGGGCTCCTCTCCTGATTCTTTCTAAAGCCTTTCTACTGCTACTCCTTCGCTTCTTCTTACTGCTGTCTTTCAGCCACACCCCTGATCTTCTGGTAGGAAAGATCTACACCTAGCCTTCTCGGACAAGGGCGAAAAACCTCGGAGGGCCCGAGTGCAAGTTGCGCACGTTAAAGATCCCTTGGTGGTCTAAAATCGATAAGAGTAGGCCGGGCAAAATTCAAAATTTCCTACCGACTGAAAATATTAGGTGTGTCCCGCGCGCTCACACGACCTTATGCAGTTGCGAGCGCCGTAAAACACTTTACAAAAACAAAAAAATAAGTTCATATTCTATGATAGTACACACTGTGCGCAGTGGGGTACATATTACATGTATACCGTAGTGTATACTATACAGGATGTACGATATTAGCTCTTCTTAGTCTTCGGCATTCCGTGCCCTTAGCTGGCAACCCTCGGTGCGCTGCTGGCTGCACTCACTGGCACCTGCGGGGTTATGATTAACTTAACTACCTTCATCGTTTGCGCCTTGCAGACGGGCGCCAGGGATTTTCATGCAGCTGGATCCAGCAATAATGTTGCTATTGAGCAATGATTTGAGAGAATTGACTGGTGGTCTGACTCGTTTTTCGCTTCGCAGACTTTGCCCCCCGTCTTGCACTGATGAACATGGAAAGACAAACTTCACGAAAAATCAGTCTACTGGCTTCGTACAGCAAGCTCAACATTTCTTTCTTTAATTTACCATACCGTAATACGAATAAGTGAGATGTTTTGTAGCTGGCCTCCGATTCATTCGTTCTTCTGTTCGTTCAACTACATGATGTACCGTACTAATAGTATATACCCAGCCTTCTCCCACCTCCATACAACTCGCCAACTTCACTCCTCTCAGCATCTAGACTGTAAAACATGAGGAGCCACAAGAGGCATTCCAATAATTTTCATTCCTAAACCAAGAGGTAATTTGTGGAAACATTCAATTTTTGTTTTAACATATAGGCCCTACTTCAAAGTATCAACAACGGACTCTCGGGGGTCCATTAACTTTGGGCTCACTTTTTTATTTTTTAAGATAGGTCAAATTCCTTCCATAGATCCATCCATAGTCCATATATAGGTTTGCACTTTTGAGCCAAATTTCAGGCTGAAGTTTCAATATTTTCTATGAAATTCATCGGCATTAAGAAACTGGTTAGGAAATCCAAGATGGCCACCACAGAGACCATTTTTCAGAAAAGTCAACAAATTCATCCCTAATACATCCTAAAATGTACCTATGTCCTTCTTGCATAATTACATGAAAGTGAATGGAAGCCATTTAGAATTTTGTTTCTGGGAAAGTACGTTTCCTCTTAAAGAGGAAAAAAAATGGGGCCGCTATCCATTCCTGGGCGTTTTCTTGCAAAAATAAATGGAGACAGAACAAGTAAGTTAAGTTTTAGTAAGTGTTTTATGGCACTCGCAATAAAATTAGGTCATATAGGTGCTGAAGATTAGAGGTGCTACAAGAGTAACAAATACTCAAAAGGAAGAGAGATAAGGACGATAGACGTTTGATAGGAAAAAAGGAGCAATCGACATCGAAGCACCTGCCAACCACTCGCCTAAAAAAGTAACACAACCAATGATCTGACATATGTAGTTTTTTATTAGTCCATGAAGCCCCTGCCGTAACAATGAAGGGGACAAAGACAATTAACCTGTTTGGGTCTAAATGAACACTTATGGACACAACCAAAACTGACCTATTCGCACTTAATTTAGTTTTTGTTAATGATTATGCAAAACATTTTTTTTTCTCATACTGAGCAAAACGGATACAAAGAAGCTTGAAAACTATTACTCCTGATTTTGTAATGTACACTATCATGGATTTCAGACACACCAGACCGGTTAACATCATGCAGCTTTCTCATACTAACATACCAACCAAAATATTTAAGTTTCTTGGGAAATTTGGTGTACATACAGAGTGGACAATACAAAATATGACACCAGTGTGTCATTATCAACACACAACAACAGCACTGGACTTTCACAGAGACCCCTGAGCAAAAAACATCATCGTTTTGTAACTTTAATCGTGACATTTTAAGCTCGCAATTTGGACGCAAGGAGGGATGAAGAGGAACCTGCAAAAGCACTAGATCCCGACACTTCCTTTATGAAGATAGAAATACAAACACAGGTACCTTGTTTACAAAACAAAAAAACCTCCAACCCCCCCAACACAATCAACAATAGCGTAGTGAGCAGTGTCCCTTCATAGCATACCCACTTGTACGTCTTGCACATCTCTATGCGCAAAATCCTGTACCTATACTGGTGACTGGCACACTTCCATACATGTGAAAGAATGTTTTGTACAACATAAAGTGATACAGCAAATGGCCTGACTGCATCTTTGTCAACATGAATGTCATTGCACTGCACCAGCAAAGTAAGATCAGTAGAAACCCGTTCAACATCTTAGGCCACATTCAGTAACAGTAAGCTACTTTTATCTCATTGGTGGCTGTGCCATGAATCCCGTCTGATACGAGGCAGAGAGAGCTTGTGATGATGGCATGAGAAGCTGGTTGGCTCGCACTGATTCAGCAAACAGGTTGTGGTAGTTGGGCAAAGGGACATAAGCTGCTGTTATTACCCGACCTGTAAAAAAGATTGGAAGAAGAAAAGACATGATAATAAGTGAAGGGTCACAAAACTTTTTCAGGAAAATTTCTTTCAGGCTACTCCTTTTGTTTGTTGTTGTTGTTGGGTTTTTTTTTTTGGGGGGGGGGGGGGGGGTGTGAGTGTGTTAGTAAGCATTTTATGGCACTTGCAACACAATTAGGTCATATAAGTATCGAAGATTAGAGGTGTTACAAGAAAGTAACATCCAAATAAGGAGGAGAGATAAAAAGGTTGTTTGATGGGAAAGAAAAAGCAAACCACACCAGAGCATACACCAACCACCCACAGGGAACTCTTTCCCTACCGCGACGTGGCCTCGCTGGACCCAGAGCCGAAAAATACGGCTTGAGTTGCTCCCTATCTATTCCAATCCAGTGATGAAAAGACACGGAATTCTCAACCGTTCCACGTTTTCAAAATAATAGAACAGACTTCCCGTGAGCAGATACGAAAGAAAATATAGCACTGAGAGACGATTTTTTGTCATTTCAGCGCTTTTTTTGTCCCCTTCGAAACGTAAAAATGAGTTTTAAAAAAGCGCTCCCCTAACTTCGGTATATGTCTCATATTTTCAAAGCATATTTTCTGACAGTGATTTTCTGTCTAAAAGCATAAGTAAATTTACTTGATCAATGCGCTTATTCTCCAGCTGCCGCAAAAATCCGAAGATAGAAAAAATGAGTGAATGAAAGAAAGGAGGAAATTGGCACAAAAAGTTTGCTATCATAGCTAGCCAGACTTTGACCAATTTGCAGGTAAAAATGTATTGCAGACCAACCCGCAGTGAATGCATAGCTGGATTATGTCCAATTGTAGGAAATGTGTAATGGTTTCTATTGCAGAGGAATTGCTGTAAATATTCGTAACTTATACAACACGATACAAAAGCAAGTATGGATCCTCCGTGGCAGAATTTCTGTAGTCCTGCGCTATTGCACTTTTATTAACGGATGGAGTTGATAATGCTTGGGGAGCAAGTATGGAACTGTCAGAAAGTAGGCCTACATTTCCGTACAAATTCGGAAGATTGGAAGCACTGAATATAATTTCCTTCCGAATAAAATTCTTCACAAAAGTAAAGCGAACCATTCAGATGAAAAACTCCCAGCACTCACGCTGAGCACATCTTGTCGAAAGAAGGGCAGAACAAAGCAGCAGCCTCAGCCTGCCAAGGCACAATCTGACAGTAAAACTGATTTGTCAAAAACTAATAAAAACAAAACTGGCTGCAGCTGAAAACCTTTGAATGACTACAGCAGTGGTCAAAATCAGTCATATGAAGGAAATTTCAAACTTTGTTAATATAATTTCCAAATACTTTCACCATTTCACAACAATTTGAAAAAAAAAAAAATGTTTTTAATGAAGTATATGAGACAATATTTGACGAAAATGTGGAACTTTTAAGTATGCAAGGTGCGGAAACACAAAAAGGAGAAAACAAGCTCCAAAGATGAGCAACATATTTCCATAGCTATGGGGGTCTTAGAACTGAGATACTTGAAATTTGGCAGTTATCTTGGCTGGGCCACTACAAGGTGCATAAGTAGAAAACTATTCCTTCACAGAAAAAAAAAAAAGGCTTATGGACAAAACAAAATTTTAATGAGAATGGTCTCCACGTCAAATGCAACAATAGGTTAGCATTGTAGGTCCTACACGTTACTAGAAACTAAATTTTCAAGTAGCTAATGTCAAATTTATCGGTTGCATATGAAAGGCCTGTGTCTCCTGTGCATTTTGGTACCATACTTTGGCACCGCTCCCCGCGGTGAGTCGACTCTAACTGTAGTAAACTGAGTGCTCTCCAGAGTTTCGCGAAAGGATTGATGCAAAATAATTCCTAGGCAATGACTTTAATCTAATAGAAAAAGAACTGTTCTTTCTATTTGTACCTTTTTCAATTAGCGGTATTTTACACAATTCATGTTAAAAATGATCCTTGAAAACTTGTACGCTCTTTTAAAGGCTTTCTATTTATACGCCAACGGCCAAAAACATACCACGGGAAGCCCCGTTAAAAACTAAAGAAGTTGTTTGCAAATGAAAAGACAGTATTTAATCATCACTCTTCAAAACATTCGAATCCATGGGTGTCAATTTTTGAACATGCAGACCATGCATTCTGACCGTGAGAGGCTTCCCTTCCCACGGCAATTCTCTAGCTCCAAATACATGGAAAAACAAACAAATTACACTATTGTAACAAAAAAAGCTTAATTTTTTAAAGCTGTACAGCATTCGGTGCGTTATAGCGAATGAGCAAAAAATAAATAAATCGACTGAATTACCTCGATTTGACCAAAACCAAGCGCTCGGAAGTCTGCGAGTCGGCTTACAAGCTGTGTTTACGCTTCCTCATACGTTTGCAATAGCACGATATACACAAGAACGCACACACACACACATAGACTGCCTCCGTGGCCTCTTTGGTAAGGAGTACACCTTGGGAGATCTAGAGGAAGATCAATCTTTAAAACCCCCACTAAAACAAAATAAAAACGAACATTTAAAGTCAATCGAAGAGTAAAACTGGAAGATTAACAGCCCATAACTACGTTAGCAGGGCACGCTTACACAGTCAACTGTTCACATAAACAAGCTAGAGGAGGGCTAGGAGTTACCGTTCTTATCCTGTTTTAACTAATCAGAGCCCTCAGTCGCTCATAGTGACGCAGCTAAATTGTTTATATTTCAGACCATTCATGCTCAAAAAGGGGTCTAAATCTAAAAATTAAAAAAAACTGGGGTGAATGGAGGATGTTGAAGCAATGTGGCCATGAGATAATGGTTCTATAAATAATCTCACAGCTACACACTAGCAGGTCAAATGTTCGAAAGGATTTAAGGTCCGAATTTCTTTATCTTGTCACCCAAACTCAGAATTAAAACCCACACACACACCTCCAAAATAAATCAAAATAAAATATAGTCGGTTACAGTAGTTTATTTTGATCTTAAATGAAGCAGAAGGCATTAACCTTTCAATAGATCCAAAAAAACAAAAAATTCACGGAAAGTCACTTTTTAGCCTTTCGAGCCTCGTAGCGCCAAATAGCACATTGCTTCTTACAACTGGATATGACCGGGGCAGACAGATATATGGACATTATATAAGTACACAGGGTTGCCAACTTCTGGCTAATCAATATATATAATTGAAAGTTAATAATACCGGTTTTAAAACAAAGAAGATTAAAACAAAAAATGCTCTTACCGGCAAAGTATCTTCCATGCAATGCATTGACTGAAGCAACAGCTGCCGATATGCTTGGGCACTTTACATAAACATTGCCTTGGGGGGAGTTCTTGTCCACATAAATGTGCAGCACACCACCATGTTTGTTGCACTCGTCAATCACATCATCTCGGATCTCTTGATCCCATGTAGTTCTTGTTTCTCTAAAATGTACAATTAACAGGCAAAAGTAAGCACAATAATTCAAAATTTACTGCTACTCTGTTTCAACATATACAATGAAGTCAACAAATGGGGCTCTTACGATATCAGTCACAGCATAATCTTAATCTTGCAGACAAATGTTAACACAAAATATAATAATAAAATCTTGATAAAAAGAGAGCATGATTTTCACCCATGCAAGCATGCGTTTTCATCAGCACAACACTTTTGACTGGAGAATCTTACATGTTTTGTTTGTTTTAGTCGAGTTTTGCGCTCGCAACTGCATGAGGTCATATGAGCGCCAAGGGCTGGATGTCAAAAGAGAAGTCCATACAGGGAATCAGGCTTACTCTGTGTTGACTTGGAGTGCCATAAAGGAAGCATACCGGACACTATTTTCCATTTTAACAGTAACCTTCGATTATAAAGCAGAGACACAATAGAGAAAAGGATTTACACAGGTTAATGATACACATTATCTGGTGCAAAGGACAAATTAATATACTTACGTAAGTGGTTCAAACATGTTCGAGAGCATGAAACACTGAGTAGCGATAGGTGGCGCATTGGTGACGACAGAAGTGGCTGGGGCTTGTGGCTGGGCTCCCGGGGCTGCTGCTATATTGGACTGCACACCAGCCTGCAGAGGCTGAGGAGTCTGTGGGTTCACTGGAGTGCCTCCGATTGTCACAGATGCATGTGTCAGACTGTTTAGAGCACTGGCAGCATATGGTGGGATCTCAAAGCCTGTGCCTGATTTTTTAAAAAAGGGAAGAAGAACAAAATACAAACATTTTAATTAGGAGTTTTACAAAAATTACTATCATCTTCAAATCTTCACTGTACAAACAAGTTGTCTCAACTGAAATTTTTAGATGAGCAGAAGCTAGCTTCCAAAACTTGCTGCTGGGCGCTTTATGGCTCTGGCGTTAGATCGCTACCACCCTCACCACTCCTGTCAGCCTTCCACTAGCCTCTACTAAACTTTGAACAGTCAATATAAATTGGTCAGCATCACTGTCAGCTTCTTCAGCACTAGAAAAGTCTAAATCCAACGCAGCCCATCAGTTTGAATGAGTTGCAAGTTACGATTGCCATCATGCCAGAATGCATAACGGGTGGAGCGTGGAAAAAAAGAAAATTTTATTCATTATCGGGTTTTTGTTTTAGTTACAGAGTTTTCCGGCACTTGTAACACAATAAGGTCATATAAGTGCCAAAGATTAGAGGTGTTACAAGAGAGTAACAAACATAAAAAAGAAGGAGAGATAGGACGATAGATGTTTGATAGGAAAGAAGGAGCAAACCACACCAGAGCAACCGCCAACCACCCACAGTTATCAGGTACATGTAAAATACAGGCTCAAAAAAGGTACTATTGGAAAGATCAGTTTATCAGTTCATTTTCTATTAGAATAAAGTCATAGACTTGGAATTATTTTACATCCATCCTTCCCCAAACTCCAAAAGCATGTGACCTCCCCACGAGGGGAGCACTCAGTATAACTACTGTATAGAGGCTTGTCAAAATAACCATAAACCATCGTGTTTGAGGCAATAAAATACTGATTTGCAATGATCCAGTCTTGAAAAAAATTTAGGCTCCATATCTATGTTATAGTGATTGTGCTCTGTTAATGTAGAGATGTGTAGTGTACTTGGTACTCTTTTATTCTCTGTCAAACATGGGACTGCAACCAGTTACTTAAAAAATCTAGTTTCTTGTACCTAGATAAAGGACAGCAGCTACATAAACCCGATGACCAGCCCTGAAACACATCTGGCAATACGAGAGAAAAAAAAAAACTATCCAGGAGTTTTGGTAATAGCAGTACCCCATCTATAGATTTTACCCGAAATTACTTGGGTCTGGCAGTGATTGAGTAAACACCATCAAATACCGTTTTCTGCCCATTTACATTATTACCACTTTTACCTTTCTGTGTAACCTTGAGAATTTGGCTGATCACAAAACAAAAACAGTTTTGACTATCTAATACAATGTACATTTTCTAACAAATGACTGTTTAACCACTGAAAACCATCAAATTTATCCCATTTTGAAGTAAACAGTAACACTCACACACACACATAATGATTATTTCATGCTGTCAAAACATAAGACTTGAGACAGAAATGACTCGAGTAACCCCAATAAAAGACAGCAAACAGTTGTCTGCCTCTGGTATGAATCATTAAACTATATCAGATAATTACAATTAAAAAAGGAAAAATTAACTAGCTATTCACCTTCAGCTAATTTGGCCATAAGTTGTAATCTGCCTGTGGCTCCAAGATCAATGCCAGCCCTGTCCATTTCATCTGTGTCCAGCTGCCCTCCCTGACCGCCGCCCTGACCATTTTCTGAAGATCTCTCTGTGACATGGCCAACTTTCATGGGGCGTCCTGCTAGTTCAAAGCCATTCAGTTGATCCAGAGCCTTTTTGGCATCATCAGCATTTGCAAACTGGGAGAGTAAAAAAAATGTTCAAGTCTACAGAAATTTAAAAAAAAACAACATTTAAAACATGTTTAAAAAAATAAACATTTTTAAAAATTAAAAATTCACACATTTCAACACTGCCATAATGGACCAACTGAATAAAAATACACAAAAGACAGAACAGAAATAAATTTTTAAAATGGACAAAGTACTGTCAAACGAAACTGTCTTTTTTTTCTTTTCTAAATGCAGCGATTTTAAAAAACCCCGACGACACAATTTAGACCATTTAGAGGCAGGCTGTCACAGCCAATCCACGCTGAGAAAGATACAATTCAACAGAAAGACAAACACAAAAGTGCGGTAAAAAGTTTGTGGCACAACTTATCCTAACACAGTATGAGCATGACATTGATAAATCAGCCCACTTACAATTCTACTAAGCACAAGAATATGTTAATATCCCCCCTTTGGGAATGGCCTAAAGGCACTTCAGTCAGTGGCACTGACGGAGGGGGCGCGTGCGGCGAAGACTCAATGTTTGATAATTCAGGAGATATTTGATAAGTTGTGCCACAAATTTTTGACCGCACTATAGATAAAAATTCTCTCTACCCGAGAACAGAACTTCGGACTCCTGTATGTTACCAAGAAACCCCTAACTACTACACCACAGACACCAGTGTCTTTGACTGTAGCTGAATTTCTGCATATAAATTTAAATGTAGGACCGACCGACAATTCATTCATAAGCTGACAAACACTTTATCAAAAGATGGATGAGAGCAACAGAAAAAAAATGTATTTGAGTGATAAGTCCACACATTTTGACCCTTCGAACTTAAAGGAATCACTTTGAAACTAGAACGAGAGCATTCCCAAAAGTTGCAGGTACTTTTCTTCATTCGATCTGAGTACATTTTCTGTATATTATTGGTTTTGTATTCTTGACTGAGCCTAGAAAACTTATAGTAGCAACCTGCTAATTTTCAAGACCCAATGGGGACTACTACTATGACTAAAAATGACAACACATCTTAAGTATTCACACTTACACTAATGAATCCAAACCCAAGCGACCGCTGTGTTTCATGATCTCTCATGATCTTTATGTCAATAATCTGAGGATAGAAAAAATAAATAATCAATGTACAACAAAAGCTGTAAAAAGGCTAAATCTTTTTACAATACATACCAAATGATCGACAAGTTTAACCTAGGACAGCAGCAGATGTAATAAGAGGAAAATTCCCTTTAACTCTTTGCCACCTAATCTCACCGACTGGCGGTTTACTACCCAGTTTCTTTAGATTTCCCCCAAATTAAGGTGGCAAAGTGTTAAAGAAAGGTGCTCACCAGTATAAAGAGAGCATCCAAACTTGTTACATTTTTAAAAAAAATCTATGTCAGACTTTTCAAAACCTGTATGAGTGAAACTTGCTAAAACTATTCAAAGAACAGACTTATGAAAAATCTTTTTAAATCTTCAAGCATGACGCTACACAAAAATTTGCATTAATGCTCATAAATCAAATAGTTTGTTGGAATATGAATAGCATAATGGAGCGAACCACATAATCACATGTTCAAGAAATGAAACAAAAGCCCCCAAAACAGTCAAAGAAAACTCAATATTAAACAAATATGCAGCGCATAGACAAATAGCTCAAGAGTAAAATCAAACTAACCTTTCCGAATGGCTCAAATATACCCCGTAGCATATCTTCTGTAATGTTAAAATGCAGGGAGCCCACATAAAGCCTGAGAGGTCCTTCGCTGGCTTTTTGCGGTGCAGGTGCAACAGCGGGCTGGGCCCTGTTCTTCTCTGCCTGAGATGGCTGCACCAGAATGGGAACTCCTAGCAACTTCTGCCCTGCTAATGCAAGTGCTAGAGGAACAGACTCAGGATCAGCAAACTCCACATATGATATGCCTTTAGACCTGCGTGTTTTGTTGTCTGTTATAAGACGCACATCCCGAACCTGCAATAAAACCATGAAACATATTAAGAAAAAGAAAATCATGAAGAGGCAATACAAACAAGAGGTGGACAACCTACTGATCATGATTCATGTAATTTATGAATGCCAAAACTGCAGTGGGGAAAAAAAAGATATCTCATCTTCAGCAAAGAGCAGTGCCTGTCATTTTTAATGTAAAAGTTGATTTTTCGAAAGGACACAATGTTCTACAATGTATTAGTATGTCCTCTCTGAACATTCTCTTAAATGCTGATCAATTTTTTCAAAAGGGCAATTTGTGAGGCAATGTGGTGAAATCAGGCGTTCGTCAAAATAATGAAATCAAAGAAATCGGCATTTTCTTGGCTGATGGGCAATTTTTTTATAAATTTTCTTTTTTTGGCTCAACACCTTTTGTCCATTTAAAAACACATTTTTGAGTGGCTTTTACTGAAAAACATTGATTAAAGGCACACAAAAATATAAATTTTCAGTTTCCAAGGACTCTCAGGCTATGGCAGTTACCAAACTTTGGCTGCCATTTCTCTCCTATTTTACCTGTTAAACCAGGCAACCCTGACCTTCAACCGCAAATACTTTTACTTCTATTCAACATAGATGGACATTTTTTTTACCAACAGGAAGACAAACAGGCTTTAAGATGATACCAATAACCCCATATGCCCAAAAATTGACCAGCGTCTGATTCCACCACGTCGGGACACATTTAAGCATTCATTATAGTTCAAACAGGTCAGCTCTCTTTCCATTTTCTCAAAGGTCAAAATGTCTTTCCAGTGTGAAATACAAACGTAGCAATCCCACAGCTTTTAAAAAAATGGTTACTACTAGCCTATAAACAACACAGGTACAAAGATCAATAATCCAGAAGAAAAATGCTTTTTAATTTTTCAAAATTGGTCCATAAATAAAAGAGTTATGGATGTGTACATGTCAGAAATTGTTGGGTTTTTTTGGAGAAAATTCCTATAGAGGAATAAAGAAGGGCAAACAGCCCCACAATATTGAAAACCCGTAACTTTTAAATTTAAGAAAGGAATGAGCTGAAAATTGGTGAGATTATGTTTTTACGGCAATGAAATAGAAAATGGAAGAATTTAAGTTGTAATATCAATACCTTGTTAATTATATGCAAATAAATAATTAAATATGCATAATTATAAAAAAATAAGCCAATATATGGCTTAATATTAGACATATATGACCATTATGTTACATGTGGATGTATACAAATCTGCGTTTGCAAAGAGATGAATTCGAAAATGTGACAAATAAGGTTTTAAATGTTCGATTATGCGCATAATTAATAAACCAAATTGTAACCAAACAGCTCAGGGAGTGGGAAACTAACAGGTTTATAAATAATATCAAGCTCGGTTTCTTTTTAAAAACTTATAATTGAAACTATAACACACGCAAAAAACTCAAATTGATTATGCGCATAACTAAGCAATTACATCGTTTTTCATAGTCTAACGAAGATATGCCCCCCCAGATACCATGAAAATATGCCTTAGAACTACAATATTGCATCCATTCCCATTTGACGTCTGTAATTATAACATTGCTCTTCTGCTGTATCATTATTATGAATAATTAGTAGGCCTACTCATAATATGCATAAATACACGGAAATCTAGATCTACCTGAGTAATCTTCATTTTGCGTCTGCCAAAAACATTGTAAATACTGGAAGAATGTATGCAGTTATCTTGAAGTGCATACCAGCACTAAATTCTCGTAGAACCGAAATCAAGCCCAATTATTTGTAACGGCAAATACAAAGAAACCTTTATTATGCCCGTGTCGATGAGAACAGTGTTTTCCATGGTATTCAGGCCTTTCCAAATAACTGTCCAATCAGCGACTACGCTTTATTGCAGCTGTGATGTCACAGCAAGATGGCGGCAAGCTTACACATCTCGCGGCAGTGTTTCCCTTTCTGGCTTTCCGGGCACGCGAAAAACAGGAACGACGTCAACGCCTTTTTAAAAAAAAATGCCATTGTTTTACGGATAATTTCACAAAATAGTTTGTAATATCATAAAGTTCAGCCTGTCTGATGATGAAGGAGCATTCCGCGGATCAATCGACCACACATTTTCAAAAACAATCTCCTCAAAGAAACCACTTTGTAACTTTCTTGTTTTTTAGCTCCATTAAAACCTGGAAATCTGCAGAGGCTAGATCCACCCTTTTTCTTATTGGTTGCAGAATTAGGGGACGTTTGGTTAATATTAAGATGGTTTCGCACTTTCCAGATACAGAGTGTCGGAAAATCACTGTGCCATTCGGCGGGTTTCGGTCTCGCTACCGACCAATCCTCTTTCTTCGATAATATCTCAGCTGTCGCTGAAGATATCAGGAAAAAATGTTTTTCAGCCTTAGTAGTAGTAGTATAAGGTTTTACGGCGCTCGCAACTGCTAAGGTCATATGAGCGCGCGAAACACAAGTTGTTCACCTCTGCGAAAGTTCACTTCACGACTGGTAACTAATTTACTTTAAAATGCTAAAAAGTTAAAATATTCAAATTCGGTGTAAATACATTTGTGATCTAAAACAACTTTTAAGTAACAATAAAAATTTTAAATAATATCAGATTCACTTTACAACTCGCCATAAAGGCCAATGGCCTTTATAAAATTTAAAATTCTGCTGGGAACAACGACGGAGAAAATATCCTGCAATTTCTTGCATTTATAATATTTCCTTCGGATCTCTCCAAAGTCTAGACATTCTGTTAAAATGTGTCTAATGGTAAAATCTGTGTCGCATCCGACACAGAACGGCTTCTCCTCTCCCTGTAGGAGGTATTTGTGAGTCAGGGCCGTGTGTCCGATGCGCAATCGAGTAAAAATGACTTCGTCTCTTCTGGAGAGATCCGAAGGATTTCGCTGTTCTAGTTTGGGTTTAATTTCATATAATTTATTATTTTTCTGGTTTTCCCAGTGGCTCTCCCACAGACTGGAGGTGTACTTTTTGACTTTATTTCTAAAGTCAGTCTGTGGGAGAGTGTTTGTCGTTGATCCCAGCAGAAGGGATGAGGCTTTCTTCGCCAGGTCGTCTACCTGCTCGTTTCCTCGGATGCCCACATGGCTTGGGATCCATGCGAACATGATGTTTTTTCCTGTTTCGGATAGTGTATGGATTTTCTGTTGTAGCCTAACTATTTTTGGGTGTAAGTGTGTAGTTTGTGAGTGAGGTGATGCAAGACAGAGAGTCAGAAAGGATAAGGAAAGATTTGTTAGGAGAATTTTCTACAGAGTCCAGTGCCATGTCAATGGCAGTGGCCTCCGCAGTGAAAATGGAGGCTTCAGGATGGAGTCTCCTCTGGTGTGTATTGTTGGGAGATAGGGCTGCGGCGCCCACTTCATTGTCTTTTTTGGAGCCATCCGTGAAGATGAGCTCCGCACCGGGGTATTTATCTATTAGTTTTTTGTATTCTGCTTGAAAAGTTTTGGTGTTTGTGCTTTCTTTGTTGTGTGTGGTCAGCTGTAAATCTACTTTTGCCTTGGTGAGGTGCCACGGAGGGAGGTCGGGAAAAGAATTTGTTGGATGTCTTGTTTGGAAAAGTGTAAGTTTTTGAGGTCCTCAAGGATTCTGAGGCCGAAAGGTTTGATGAGTTTTTCGTTGTTTTGGAATCTGTTTCTGGTTTCTGGATTTGTTTGAAAAATGCTGTTGTGCGCTGGATTTTCCGGTGTTGAGCTCTGTTTAACTGCGTATTGTAGTGAGAGTTGTGTGCGTCTGAGTGAGAGTGGTGGAATGTTGGCCTCGGCCTGGAGGCTCTCCACCGGAGAAGTGCGGAAAGCCCCCAGAGCGAGGCGGAGTCCTTGGTTCTGTATTGGATCTAGTATTTTTAAGACGTGTGGTTTTGCCGATCCGTAGACTTGACAGCCGTAGTCAAGCCTGGACCGGACAAGGGAGATGTACAAGTGGAGAAGGTGTTTTGAGTCCCCTCCCCACTCCGGATGTGATAGAATTTTCAAAGCGTTTAACGCTTTCTGGCACCTCACACGAAGGTCTTTGATGTGTGGTATGAATGTAAGTTTTTTGTCAAAAATGACACCGAGGAAACGAGCTTGGTCCTGGACGGGAATCCTTTCCCCGTATAGTGTCAAATCCGGCTGCAGCACACGTCTGCCTGTTCGGCAGAAGTGTACTGCAACCGTCTTTGACGGGGAGAACTTGAAACCGTTGTTGTTTGCCCACGTTTCAAGTTTTTGCAGCTGCGTTTGCAGCTGCCTTTCCATAGATCTCAAATGAGGATTTTTCGATCGGCAGCATATCAAGAAGTCGTCAACGTATAACGAGCTGTCTATGCTGTTCTGGAGGGTTTTCACTATGGAGTTAATTTTGATTTCGAAAAGGAGAGGAGAAAGGATGCTCCCCTGGGGGACTCCTTCCTCCTGTTGGTGGGGGTCTGAAAGGGAGGATCCGACACGAACCTTGAAGGAACGGTTCTTCAGGAAGTTGCCAATGAAGGCAGGGAGGTGACCGCGTATGCCGAGTGCGTGCAGGTCTTGAAGAATGCCGTACTTCCAGGTTGTGTCGAAGGCTTTTTCTAGGTCAAAAAAGATGGCGATCATGTGGCCTCTTTCGGCGAACGTCTCGCGTATAAAGGTCTCCAGGCGGACCAGGTGATCCAGAGTGGATCGGGTTTTCCTGAATCCGCACTGGAGACCGCTCAGCGAGCCCGTCGTTTCCAGAAACCACATGAGTCGCCTGTGAATCATTTTTTCAATTAGTTTGCAGAGACAGCTCGTTAGGGCTATAGGTCTGTAATTGGATGGGTGTGTGTGGTCTTTGTTAGGTTTGGGTATTGGAATGACAGTGGCGAGACGCCAAGACTCCGGAAAGGAGTGCGACCGCCACATGTCGTTGTATATGTGTAATAGGAGTGTGAGTGTTTCTGAGGGTAAGTGTCTAATGATCTTGTTGTGGATGTCATCCGGTCCCGGGGCTGTATCGCCCAGGTCCGAGATGCACGATGTTAATTCATCTATTGTGAAGTCTGCGTTGTAGGTTTCAGTGTTGTTTGAGTGGAAGTTTAGGTGTTGTTTTTCTCTGTTAGTTTTGACTTTTTGAAAAGTGGTGTTGTAGTTTGCTTGGGATGAGTTTTTGGCTAGAGATGTAGCTATTGTGTTTGCAATGTCTACTTGTGTTTCAGCTGTTGTTCCATCCGGCCTCTGGACGTGCCGAATGGTGTCTGTGCGTCTACCTAAGAATTTTTTAGCAATTTGGAAAACTTGATTGAGTGGTGTCTGGCTGTTGATTTTGGAGATGTATTTTTGGAATGATTGTCTTTTGCTCTCCCTGAGGCATCTACGTGCCTCAGCTCGAGCCTTTAAATAAAGTATCTTATTTTCTATGGTGGTGTTGTTGACGGCTCTTCGATACGCTGTCTTCTTTTTCTTTACTGCTTCCTCACACTCCCAAGAGAACCAGATCTTGTTCCTCCGGGGTTTTGTTTTTGTTTTTGGAATGTGATTGTGGCATATTTCTAAGAGCTTTTCGTGAAATTTATTGTAGTTGTGGTCGAAATTGGGATTAAGAATCTTGGAACATTGATTTGCAAACCCGTCCCAGTCGGCTTTTTTGAAGTTGAAGCGTTCTGGGATCGGGTCGTTTTGGAGGCTATTGTTTTTGAGGAGAATTGGGAAATGGTCCGTACGGTCATCCAGCACAGACCACTCAAGATCTGGGACTAGTTCAGGGGTACAAAAAGTAAGGTCAAGGGATGAAGTGCCATAAGTGGCTCTGTTTCTGTAAGTTGGGGATTTATCATTTAAGAGACAGATGTTATTTTGAAATAAAAAGTTTTCTATTATTTTACCTTTCTGGTCTATAGGTTTGTCTCCCCAAAGGGGGCTGTGGGCATTGAAATCACCTAGTAAAATAAAGGGTTTTGGGAGCTGGGACTTTAAGTCATTTAGTTGGGTTATTTTGAGGGGGTAATTTGGTGGGATGTAAACTGAGCAGATCGTGATTGGTCTGTGCAGGGTGACCCGTACGGCAATAGCCTGGAGGGTCGTCTTAAGATGTACTTGTCTGTGGAGTGTGTGGTTGTCGGTGTAGATGGTGGTACCACCGGAAGCAATCTGGTTCTCCGCGTGAATGTGATGGTACGCAGTAAATCCTCTTAAGTCTATGGTTGAAGCCGGGGCGAATTTTGTTTCTTGAATACAGGCCACCCGTGGGCACAGTGTGGCCTGTAAATGTTGCAATTCTGCAATGGAAGGTCGGATTCCGCCGGCATTCCATTGCAGGACCGCCATTATGAATTTTTACTTTTTGGTTTGGAGCACTTAGGCCCCGGCTTCGAAGAAGCACTCTGACTCCTCCTTACGGGGGAGGCAGAGTGTTTTCTAGGTTGCCGTCCTGGATTGGACGGCGGTCTAGTGGGGGATTTGGAGGAGTGACAGACTCCGCCCTTCCCGGGTTCAGGCCGGGGAGGGGGGTCGGAGATGTCTTCCTCCATAGGCAGGGGTTTGTCTGCTGGAGGGGTAGGGGGAGGTGGAGCAGACCGAGGGGGCTGGGAAGGGGGGGGAGGGGGCTGGGGGGAGGGGAGAAGGCCCACCTCACACTCCATCAGAGGGATGGGCTGTGAGGTGGAAGAAGAAGAAGAAGAAGAAGAAGAAGAAATGATAGAAGAGGGGTGAGGGGGAGAAGAGGGGGCGGAGGAAGAGTCCTCCCCGTCCTCCCCTAGAACCCCATAGCTGTTAGAGAGTGGCACCTCAAAGGGGGGTGCCACAGGGATAGTAGCGGGCTTTTTATTTCTGGTGTTCTTTGGCACAGAGACTTGCCTGTTGACCGCGGGCTTTGGGAGGTCGGTAGTAGAATTACTTGCCGACCTCATGACCATCTGGGTTGCCATTGAATATGACCGGCCAATGACTGGGGTTGTGATTGGCGGGCAGACAACCTTACGGGCCTCCTGGAAGGAGCAGCCATTTCGCGCCTTGTATTCTTGGATGGCGCGTTCTTGGAGCCAAGTCGGGCACTCCTTGCTGAAAGCTGTGTGCTGGCCGTGGCAATTGGGGCAACAAGGACTAGCCTTGCATTCCTTCTCAGGATGCCCGGTCTTGCCACAACGAGGACACACGGCTGCGTGACGGCATCGTGACTGGCTATGGCCGAACTTCTGACACTTGAAACAGCGCAGAGGGTTCGGCACATAGGGTCGTACGTCGAGTACCAAGTAAGATGCCCGAACGGTGGCTGGAGGGCGACACGATTCGAATGTTAGGACAATCGTGTTCGTCTCGATAGTAGTCTCCCCCCGCCGAAGAGTAATCCGGCGGGCTTCGACCACTCCCTCACAGTGCTCCACAATCTCTTCCATGGAGCAGCCTTTCAGCTCATGGCTGCGGACCACGCCCTTCGAGCGGTTAAATTTTTGATAGTGCTCTGACTTACATTGAATACCGCCGAAGGTCGTGGTATCCAGGAGTTTGGTCACTTCGATCTCGGTTGCGCACTTGACAAGGAGTGCACCACAGGAAAGCTTCTGTACACATGTGGGAATGTATCCCAGAACTTTCCGTAGTGCATCTCCTGTCTTAAAGAGGTTGAGATCGGTAATTCTTCTCTGTGCGTCTTTGGTACTGGAGATGGCCACGTACGGTTGCCTCAGAAGCTCCTTGGGAGGAGGGAGGAAAGAGGCATCGGTAAAGGTCCTTTTACCTTTTTTTGAGTTTTTGCTCGGCTCGGCGGCCGCACCCGCTTCCGCGAGCCGAGACTTTTTAACGTTGGGAGCTGGGGAAGGGTCTTTTTGTTTTTTGGAATCCATGAAAGTTTTCTATTTGATTCGACTCCGGGGCTCCCCGCCCGCCACGGAGCCCAACAAGGGGACACATAGCTCGGATATCCAGAGCTGTGCCAGGGCTACCCCGGAGCTATACTCTCAACGAGAAAGTACGAGACCCTCCCGTCAAGATTGACCCAGGACTTGATGGGGTTTCAGCTCTCAACCGATTGAGTGGCATGGGCCGTGCCACCCTCCCGTCTAAGAGGAAAACCTGGGCCAAAGAGGTGTGTTGGTGAGGGACAGTCCGTGGACTGATCTCACCTCAACCGCCAGGTACCCGGTTTCCCTCCGCACGGGTCGCACCTCACGGTCAACGAGGCGCCCACTCTGTGGGATGGGTGACCTCTCTTTTTTCTGCACTTGAGGTCAGCGGTGGGAAGAAAGATAGAAGAAGAAAGAAAGAAGGAAGGAGAAGAGGAGGATACACCAAAGTAAGTGTCGCACACGGATCCCAGAGGGTTGGGGTCCGTGTGCGACACTCCGCCTTTGAAGGGGTTGCACCTTCTGCAGACGAAGCAGTGGGTCTATTTATATCCCCCCGACCCACTGGGGGTGGTTTTTCAGCGTATACCCCAATTTCTCCCACATGTATTGATGTATGACACATGGGGCTGATGCAAAGAACAATGTTATAAATAAGCATGTTCCTGGGCTAACCCCTGGCCGGGGAGAGTCTACCGCGTTTCCGCACTACCAGTGCGGGGCATGAGGTATTGCGAACAAAAGCCCTAAATCCATCTGTTCTGCAGCTTGACATGCACTTAAACTAGCCTTCTGCCCAATGTTTCACATCGTGTTAGTAAAATATCTATATAACTTTATTTTTCTTGTGCCTCAGACCCCACTTCGAATTGTTTAACAAACTGGAAAATGAAGACAAGTGAATGAGTTATTAATAAGACGGTCAGTCTGTTCCAAATGACATTTGACCAAAAAAGATCAGTCATTGCGGGGGGAGAAATCCTGCGTGTAATACATACCTTGCCAACAGAAGAGAAAAACTCCTCCAAATCTCTGGGCCTTATACGAGCAGATAACTGCATACAGAACACAGTACGGATGTCTCTTTCCTCTGGGGTCAACTCTGGCTCTCTGCATAAGAAAGAAGAAAATAATATCTCATCAAAGAATGTTTTGATTCATCTGCATTTCATGATACAAACAGGAAGAGAAAGATGGCACAACCAGCACTAAATCAAAAGCATGACAGATGACTTCAGAACATATCAAAGAAGAATGAAGACTATCAACTTGAACCCCCCCACAAGATCAATAACAATAATAAACGAAAATTTTACAGGGCGCCACATGCATAAAAAGCTGTATCAGCTGTTACTACTTCAATTATGCAAACCTTTTTCTGGCCAAGGTTGGTACCTTAGGGACATGATTGGCACCAGGATGCAAACCAAAATAATGACACATTTTGGAGTAGTAAATCTCAAAAAAGCATCCACCAAACCACTCACAAACATGAATGAAAACCTATGGTTAAAAATGACAAATGCTACTAAACATGAAAGAAAATCAAAATCCTCATAAAAGTACCTTCCTTTATCAGCATGAGGTTGATCCGTTCTGGAACGAAAGAAAAATTTATCAACCCCTGTATCTTTTCTACACTGCACAATCCAAGACAAATATTTTCTTTGCCATAATATAGTGTAAATCGCATAGAGCCTGTTGTTGAGCGGGAATATGTGCTGTACAAATGCTATCTATTATTATTATTATGACCCCCCCCCCCCCCCCCCGTCAAAGACATTACTCCACACATAAAATTTTTAATACATATCAAAATAAAACTGAAAGATAAGTTGTTTGTAACAATATTTTGTAACGCTGTGGAATACATGAAAATAACCCAATTTTTAACCTCTCATCCCTCCCTCTCTAACTTTCATTCATTTCTTCTTGAGGCTTATTTGGTTGTTGTTTCAGAAATATTTGTTCTTGGAAAGCACCTTGAGTTCAAAGAACATTAAAGAGAAAGATCACCTCAAGTAGTTATTAGAAAGACAAGAGCTTTTGAGTATAAATCACCAGATAAACTGCAGCTTCTTAGGGTGGTTATTTCCAGAGTACAATCCAAAGTACCAAATAAAGCCAACCGATACCTTACTGGTACTATTAAAATGCTTGTAATTTTCCTGCTGCTGTTATTTTTATCTACAAGAACTTATCCGTATATATAAACCAGGGAGAAACCTAAGATCATCAAACGATAACACCCTACTTGTGACACCTGTAAAATCATACCAATCATTTGGAGAGAGATTTTTCTCATATCTTGGTCCATTTATGTGGAACAGATTACCCATGAAACTAAGACAAATAAAAACACTTGATAGCTTCAACAGACATCTTAAACATTTTCTGTTCCTACAGGCCTATCCTTCATAAGCTTTTAACGTTATCTTTCATTATAGTTGTTCTGTTCCTATGTCTGGATGAAAATAGTCTGTGTGTGTGTGTGTGTGTGTGTGTGTGTGTGTGTGCGTGTGTGCGTGTGTGTGTGCATTAATGTATATTGCATGAGAAGAAAGGAAGTAGTAGGAAAGGTTTTTGAAAAATGGGTATTCCAATGTAAAGCGCATTGAGCTACTTTTTTGGAAATGCGCTATATAAATGTTATATTATATTATTATTATTATTATTATATTCAGCAGACACAGGCAGGAAGGCATAATAAGATATAAACATTTTCCTAAGCAAAAGCCCTCTAAATTAAATAGTCATGCCTTCCCCCTTCAGCTGAATATTTATCAGGCAAGTCACAAAAATAAAAACACAATTCTGCCTTTCCTCTTCAACTCAACACACTGATTATCTAAAATTTGCACATCACAATTTTAAAAGAAGAAGTTACCTGTGTCTTTCACCGTGTATGCATAACCATGAGTACAAAAACATTTTTCTCTATATAAATTTATGGACAATATTAAATTTTACAGGACTGTCAGTCAAAAGAGAAGCCCCCCCCCCCCAACCATTACTGTTTAAAGTATTTCAAAAGTAAATCTTTTAATAGCTGTCACATACTATTGAGACCATCACGCTGAAAAAAAAAAGTGAGGCCACAGCTGCAATACACACACAAATGACATAAATAGTCCCTATATTCAAAATATTCTAAAATAAAATCTAGTGACTTTTTTTGCCCATTAATCATACACTTTATTCTTACTGATGGTACCTCTCTTTATCAGCATGTGGTTGATCAGTTCTGCAATGAAAGAAAATTTTATCAACCCTATTCCTAATCCATCACTGTCGAATCATGTATTTCAAACATTAGCTCAAAGGAAACTAGATCTCACTATCTTTCACTGAACCATATACCTATGAACCCCCCCACTGCAATTTAAACCTCCTGAGAAAATGGGTAAGCTTAATCATTCCTTTGTGTTTTTTAGTTTTAGTAATAAGGTCATATAAGTGCCGTGGATTAGAGGAGTTACAAGAGAGTAACAAACATAAAAAAGGAGGAGAGAAAAAGACAATAGTATGATTGGAAAGAAGGAGAAAACCACCCCAGAGCACCTGCCAACCACCCACCCTTTGTGTTTGAGGCCACCCAAAACTAAGTACATTGAAAATAATTTTTTTTTTAAATCTCAGCACGGACAGGAAAAATTTCAATTTTGATCTTAAAAATCCATCCCTTACATTCTTTTCAATATCAAAAGCTGAACCACTTGTCATTAAGGGCCATCAGAAACTAATTCTATAATATAAGGCACAAAAAAAAAAAGAAGAAATATTTGAGTACAACCATAGAAGAAAGTACGAATGAAAAAGAGAAACACAACTTGTTTTTAAAGGTCTTGTGCTTGACCCAAAAAAAAAACCCCGCAACCCCCCCCCCCCCAAACCCAAACAAGAACAGCACAGGGAGGGGAGAGATGAATGTTAATCCCGATGCGCCCCCAACAACAACAACAAAGTCCTGCAGTCCAACAGAGCCATTGCAAAAAAAGTGCCAATGATACAATACCGGGTTTATTAGCTATACTTTGAGATGGAAAAATTTAACCAAAACACAGTAAAAAATTCCAGCTGCTCCATTTGAAATTTTTAAAAATCCTGATATGGTTTGTAACATGTCTAAGTTTTAGTATGAGTTTCAAGGCAAACAAAGAAAAGAAGGATGAGAGATAAAAATGAAAGACGTTTGATACGAAAGATGGAAAAAGCAACACCACAGCACCCACCAACTACCCACATAAAATGTCTGCAATGAAAAAATAAAAATGTCAGAAAAGTAGGCAGGACGTATTTAATGAGTCCAAGGACTAAATATTTGTTCCACAAAAAAAAACCAACACTTTTTCTAAACCAGTCTTCTCCCCCAAGATGAAACATGATCCCATGATTTTTTTAAACTAAAAAACACAAGAACTTCAACAATAAACAAATAAGAAATAGGGACACTACAAATGGAAAGGGTGACCGAAATTTTTTCAGTTACCTTTGGGCACTCCTGCTTCTTCTCCTCCGAGGGGACCGGCTTCTCCTGCGACGTTCATGGTCTCTGTCTCTACTTCGGCTCCTGCGGCGATCTCTTTCCTTTTCTCTTCGTCTTCTGTCCTTACTTCTGCTCCGAGATCTCCTATCTCTGTATTTTGGACTTCTCTCACGGCTTTTTGACCGTCTGTCTTTCACTTTTGAAGTCTTCTCACGACTTCGAGACCTAAGACAAGCAAAACAGGAATTATACTGACCTAATCTCACTATTCTCTTTGAGGATTATTTGTTAAGTTTTTACATAACACCCCCCCCCCCCCCCCCAAATTACCATCCATTTTGAAGGAAGTAATGCCCTCTGTTGTTGCCCTTTTAAAGATATTTAAAAATCACCGTCTTTTAACTGATGCGGGCTCATGACATTTGGAACATTGTTTGACAGCATAATAAAGAATGCTTGCAAGAAAAAAAACCCTGATAATTTTTACAGATTGAGGTAAAAATCACTCAAATCAACAATAACATTCACCCAACAAAACAAAACGAAGGAATGAATATCACAATAAATCATAACAATTATAAATAATTGAACAGCAGCTGCTTTGATTACACTACAAAACCAAAAGGTTAAAGGACAACAATTTTGCTGTCAAGAGGGGTAATTGTTGGCCAGCTCAACTCCTTGCTATGGTAATCTGTGAAACATTGTCGCACACACAACTCCACCAGACAATCTGGACACTGGAGGTGTGTTTCCATTCTCTTTCTCCTATTTGCATTATAGCACATCTGAACTCCTGAAGTGTGGACCCCTGGGCCCAGCTTCCCGACTATTAGCCTCAAGATCTATCTGCTGTCCATTTTTCCCGACTCTGGCTTTACCTTTCTCACTACTGTACAACATAGATAGCTCGAACACAGTTAACTCAAAATCATGCACCTGTTGAACTGTGCATGCAGTCCCGTTTCTAGATATCCCTAGAACTATGGATTCCTCGAACTACCGAGGCTAGTCCCAGCGAACTCGTGCTATCCGTGTTTTACTGTATTTCCAAACCTTAAACCCTCCCAAACTTGAAATGGGGCTTTTTTACGTTTCTAAGCCACCTGTGGCTCACTGGAAGGGTCTAACACTCCTCAAACACTTTCATCATTATGTTCTACAAACAGTCTTTCAGAAATAGAGCCACTATTTGAAGTTTCTGGCTCACTTAAATAGGCAAATATCTTAAATAAATTATGGAGAGATCCTTCCTTTATGTTGGTTTAGATCAGTGATATTGCTTGAATATATTTCAATAAATGGATAATCCACTAAAGGAATATAAAAATTTCATTCCATGATTGCAAACCCAAGGGAATGTTTATTTTGCATGACAGCCCCAAGGATCTAAAGCAAACTGCAGTTTGTGTACACCACCAGATTTACTGACTAACTGCCATCGAGAAAAATGAAGAAGTACATATTTGATCAAATGTAGGCTTATCAACATTACAACAAACCAGGAGGACAGTGAACAATTTTTATAAATATTTTTAAAATTTTAAATAGATGCTACAAACCTTTTCCTCTCTTTGCTCCTTTCTCTGCTCCTGCTTCTCTTCTTTCTAGATAAAAAATAAAATTTACAAATATATAAAAATGACACATTTGTAACTATGACATAAAACAATATTTGCATCACACACTGAACCAACCATGTATCTTCATGCTCAGTAATACAGTACAATTAAAAATAATTTAAATTTATCTTTACCTGCAGGTTTATTTCCTTCTCAAGTAAATATCCCCCTTGCCACACACCACTGCCATCAACAACAGACAGAAAACATGATCAAGTATCCTAAAAATTGTAATAACTAAAGAGTAAAGAAAAATTGTGAAACATTCATAATCAATCAACAAAAACCAACTATGGAAAAAAATCTATGTTCACATATATACATCTATGCACATGAAATTGACATATTTCAGTTATACAAAAGAAAGAATTTTGGTTATTTATGAATAAAATTCCACTTTCGAAGAATGGTTTTAGTGAGTTTTATGGCACTTGCAAAAGAAATATTTTCCTACAAAATTACTTTATTAGCAAATAAAAAATCCCAAACAAAACAAATAAATAACTACGCCAGTAACTAACTAATAAATTATTTATTCAGTAAACTTGGGTTATACACCTCTTCCTACTTAAAATATTACAGTTCTGGCATGTCACCCCTGCTTATAAGAGGTGCTAATAAATATCACATACCTGGCCACACATTCAAGTCAGGTCTATTTCAAAGTTCCCCATTACGAGACCAATAAGAGACACCTATGCCAACATAACAAGAGATCATATTAGAGATATTGAGTCATTTAATGAACTGCGGCATGTCCATATAAAAACCGCGCCTGCTCTTCAGACCATGGGGCGTGCCTAAAGAAAAACAAATAATTATAGAAAGCATATGTTTGCGCATGACTTTATCACAGCTTGGATTGAATACTACACTTATTGTCGTCACCTGAAATGAAAAAATTTGGAAACTTCAGTGAAAAGTTTTCAAAACTTCATGAACCAGGTTCACAAACGGAAAGTCTCACGGAAACCATTCACTCCTCACCCAAAAACAGTAAGCAATTTACTTACCTCAAAAATTTTACTTTTTAACAGAATCAAACATTGGTCCTTCGATTTTGATTTTAATTTGATTTTTACTTGGCATATAAAAAATGTATCTCCAAACTTTACTCATAGTTCACAGACAGTAAGCCATGCCAGTGTGAATCATACCGATAATAATGACATGTACACCCACTTACTTCTTCTCTTTCTTTGATGAAGACGAAGATCTTTCAACTTTTCCTTCTTCCTGAATATCCGAAAACATCATATGAAGTAATCAGGAACACAGCGACAGGGATACAAGGGAAAAGGGAGATGGGTAAGAGAAAAATGACGATGAAACCAGTTAGTCTTTCTGATACACATATTGAACTCTGAAACAGCAACTGATTCTATCCATAAATTCTTGATGCTGAAAATTAAAAACACATAAGGAACATATTATTTGGTACCAACCAAACAGTACAGTAGCTTTTTTACAGCCAAATACACTGTTTATTGAGCATCCCTTTCCCTGACTATGACCCCACAAATTAAACAAAAGATTGATGGTTGATACCGTTTCCCATGCAAAACATTGTAAGTTTCAACACTAGATGCATCTCTCAGAAAATCTTTAGATAAAAAGGTAAAATGCTTTTAACAGAATAGATAATTACAACAGACACACAAATTAAGAAATGGTGGTTAAACATGTTAAGAGTACGGATAGGCATATGCATTACTCTCTGGACATTGGTGGTGATGATCGTCATCAGGCTGGATAACTGTCAGCTTTTGCTTTGACTCAGCCTAGGAGCAGAGTAGGGAGTAAAGTTCATTTGGTTTGAAAGACATTACAAACACGAACTGTTTTTACTATAACATTAAAGAAAACATTAAATGCACATCCATTTGCTGCAATTTGCATCATACTACAGTCCACCTGTGAATAAGAGACAGTGATCCGATTTATTCACCATTTATTCACCAAGAGTTTCGATATACTAGTAAACAGTAGTATCCTCAAATCTGAGTCATGAATGCAACTGTGCCCATACAAACAAATATCTTGTACCCCGTCAACATACATTCCATGAAAGATAAATATAATGTACTTGAGAAAATATCTTTCCTCTAAGCAGATGTTTTTGAACATGCTAAAGATACACACATTTAAAATTTAATAATCAACAATATCTTCATTTCCACAAAGCTATACAACTTCTTAATTGGGAAGTTAAAAACAAATACTTTCTCACTCTTCATTCAAAGCATAATATAACATACATCATCACTTCATAACAGTTGAGACAGATAAGACCTTAATTATCCCAAAGAGAACTTCAGTCACTTTGTGTAAACAAAATTATTTTTTTTAAAATTAGTGCTCTATAGAAAAGTGACAACTGAGAATACAGTCGAAACTGCTCGAACGGCCACCTGCCCAAGACAATCACCCGTAAAACAACCGCTTCCCATTTCCCACTTTGCATTTTTCAATATTATAAAAATTAAAATGACACTGTCCAAGGCTTTCTTTCAAGTAAGTCAACCACTTTTCTTCGTTACAATGGGTGGCCATCTGGGACAATTTCAGCTGTATTTCCAAATCAACCAATATGAATGTGAAGTTTGGCAGACTGACAATGTTCTAATAATATAGAAAGTCTGCTGGAAGGGAACCCCCTCCCCCCCCCAAAAAAAAACAACAACCAACAAACAAAAACAAATTTATAGTCTTTTCTTTTTTTTAGAATAAAATATGGACAAATGTGTAAAACACAACTTAAGACCAACATACCTCTTTCTTATATGGAGCCTCAAGCATAGCTTCAACATCAAGTTCATCAGCCATCCCGAGTTCTTTTTGTCTTGCCACAGATGATATCTGCAACAACGATAGATATAGTGTTAAATCACAGCTCAGTAATGACAATTGTAAAGAGCAAAGACCTTAAAAAACAATGTAGGTGTTTTTACACTACACACCCTATCAACAGATCATACAGGAGGCGGGCTTCAGAACCTGTCAATAACATTCCAGCAAAAAGGAAAAAAAAAAAAAACTAAAAATTTCTCCCCATTCAGGTCTCCTGTGTGTAACAGCGAAGCGCTTAACTGCTATACAGACGCTGGTGACCTTACTTTCAAGAAAGGATGTTTGCTAAATGCAGTCTCAGTCTACTAATAGTACTGTTTATAATATCCATGGGTCACAACATTTTTGTAACAAAGTTCAACACAACGTACTTGAAGAAAAGACAGAAAATTCAAAACAATGTGAGAGAGTACTTTGAGGATAGATACACTGTCAAAGAGGCTGCATAGAGTGCTCTAAGCTACCTGAAAGATGGTTTTAACTCAGTGAGTGAAAAAAAAAAACCAATAGAAAAACTTGGGAGCCACAGCTGGGGGACATTGTCAAGAAAGATGCGTGATGGGTATCTGCAGCATGAGATGAATGTGACCCTTTAGGGAGCACCAAAAAGAGGAGGAAGATTTTGAGGTCCATCAGAAAAGGCTCTCAGGACAGTGCAAAGGGGAAAGAGGGAAATGTATACAATCCTGGTGGCCATTGAAGGAAGGCAGTACTTATAATTCATTTAAAACATGAATTTAAAACTAACCTTTTTCGTTTTTCTTCATTTTCTCAGTTTCACATTTTCAGCCCACACGCCATTTTTCAAACGTGATTGTGAGTTAACTCATTGAAATTTTGCATACCTATTTGGGAAATAATGCTGAAAGTCCTTAAACTCTAATTAATGATTTATCATATTAACTTACCCTTTTCTGAAGGTCATGCATATTCAATAAGCATTTTTTTTCCTCATATTTCTTAAAGAAGCTATATTTCAACCTATAATAAAAAGAAAACTTTTGCCGCAATATCTAGTTTCTTTAATTCAGGATACGAATGGGGTATTAAAAAAGCTTTCTTGAAAGTTCCATTAAAAAACAATAAGTAGTTAATTCGAACAAGAGTGTTTGAAGTGAACCCTACATATTTTGCTTGCGGTGGCCATTTTGAAAGCCCAATTTGCATATTTAATTTTTTTTCTCATCTCCAAAATATTCTTTATTGATGTATAGCACATACATATATATATATATAGGTAAAATCAAGCATGGTTGAATAATGTGCCAAATAGCCTTCTTTAGGATCCTGCTACCTAAGTCTATACAAACAACAAAGGCAGCGATTCTTCGGACCCAGGGGTGCCAATAATCTGGTTGTTATTCTTACCCCCAGGTAATACCGGACGCATTTATTTATTCTCACCCAGGGTGAAGAGACATAAAAGTTATTAGCGAGTTGATTTCAGTGTTTTTGAAAAGGCAGCATGAATTGCGACAGAGTAATGCTGTGACAACCAACACAGCGTTAATTGCGACAGAGTGACTCTGACAATTAATGCGGCATTAATTGCAACAAAGTGAGTCTGTTTAGTTAAATAGTTTTAGTAGACGTTTTACGGCGGTCGCAACTACATAAGGTCATATCTGCGCCAGAACATTAGAGGTGTTACAAGAGAGTAACAAACATTAGAAAGAAGAAGTGGAGATAAGGACGATATATGTTTGATAGGAAAGAAAAGCAAACCACACCAGAGTACCCGCCAACCACCCATTGTGAATGAGTCTGAGACAAAAAAAAGAAAGAACTTTAAAAGAAAAACAAACACACACACACACACATGCACTCGCACACCCACACACATACAAATACACATGCACACCGCATATGCTTGTGGCCTTTTATACACACATACACACACCACACCAAACTAACAGACAAACAAAAACAGTCGCAACTCTTTTCTTGTTGTTGTCCCTAGTGGTTTTTGTTGCTGTTGTATGTTGCTGATGTTTTGTTGTGATATTTGTTGCCTTGACTCTACTGTACAGAACGTCTTTGTGGATTTTTGCCACTCTTTAAGTCCGCCTTCTCAACTGTTTCAGTTTCAGATGATTTCTTCCTGAAGGCAACAAAATTTTCATCTTTAAATTTAGCAAAAGCTTTGACTTTGTCAAATTCGTCATAAGATTTGAAAGCCCCCCATCTTGTCAGGCGGAGACTAGCCTAGATAACTAGGACCACCCAGGGAGAAGTGGAAATGGTAGATTTTTTATCTAGATCTAATCATCAACGCAAAGAGCTCCGTGTTCAGTCTGTCACAATTAACACCGCGTTAGTTGTCACAGCGTCACTCTGTCGCAATTAACACTAGATCTACCTTTTGAAAAACGCTGTGACTACGCTTACGGCGCCGTGAACGTTTATCTATAGATATCTCGTTTGCAGGCTACATTCACGGCGCCCTGAATGTGTAGTTTGCAGGTTACGTACACGAAACCCTGAATGTAATTTGCAGGCTATGATTTGACACGTAGGCTAGGTCTAAATGGATAAACCAATCTTGGCGTGTTTTGAATGAGACGTACGACTCGGTTATGAACCAACACAGGCAGTTCTACAAGTAGGCCACAAACTCAAGCAGACTGACGCACACTCACTGTCAGCACACCGATGATGCTTGGTGCGCATGCTCTCAGCTAAGAGGGCTGGACTGATACTGGCTCCAACCGGAACCCGGACAGCAGGGGTCTGGATGCTGAAGCCGGAAAGAAGGGAGGTCCGAATAATAATCTGATTAATAAAACCCCTGGGGTCCGAATGACACCGAACAACAAAATGTCAGCAGGGCTGCCAACCCATCTCCATGGTTTTTAGTAATGACCATGACGAAAATTTGTAATTTCCCATAAAAATTAGTAATCGGTGCTCTCATTTTCATATTACTATATTACAACGAACAAAAATGTCTTCATTATGGGAAAAAAGGGCTTACCGAAAATTAAATAAATGGGTTGGACGATCGATAAATCTATTTTTAGACTGCTTAGGTCTCAGCAGCGTAGCAGCGATGCTTCTATTACCTGTGTGCGGTATTATTGTGGGCAAGGCTAACTAGCGCGAAGTGGGCCAGCTGTTCTTTTTTTTTAGAGGGGTGGGAGGTTGATTTAGAGATTGGCGTTTTTCCAACTATTGGCAGACGATTCACAGGTCTGCACTAAGACTTGTAAAATAAAAAAAAGAGCCAAAAATATTTCTTATAAAGCCAACAATCTGCTGACAGTAAAAATCGTAATCAATCGCCTTACGATCGGAATGTCGTAGTGGGGCTAAAAAATCGTAATGATTACGAAAAAATTGGAATAGTTGGCAGCTCTGTGTCAGTTGGAAATGCCTAATGCCTTGGGTTTTGTCTAAGGTAGTTTTAATTGCGGCAGAGTCGCGCTGCAACAACAAACACAGTGCTAATTGCAACAGAGTGAACACGGAGCTCTTTTACGTTGATGATTAGGCCCTAGAATCTAAGATATTCTAGATCTACCATTTCCGCTTCGCTTCCAAGCGTAGTGGTTCTAGTCTAATCTCTGAATGACAAGGAAGGCTTTCTGGAGCAGGCATTCAAATCTTACAACGAATTTGACAAAGCTTTTCCTAAATTTAAAGATGAAAATTTTGTTGCCATTAGGAAGAAATCATCTGAAACAGTTGAGAAGGTGAACTTACGGAGTGTGGCAAAAATCCACAAAGACTTTCCGTACAGTAGAGTTGACTTTATCTGTACACATTATAGAAAGCCAAAATTTTGAGGCAACAAATATTACAATAAACATCAGCAGCATACAACAGCAACAAAAGCCACTAAGGGCAACAACAGCAAAAACAACAAGAAAAGAGATGAGATAGTCTGTTAGTTTGGTGTGTGTGTGTGTGTGTGTGTGTGTGTGTGTGTGTGTGTGTGTGTGTGCGCGCGTGCGTGTAAGATCACAAGCGTGTGCATTTGAGCATTTGTGTGTGTGAGTGCATGCATGTGTGTCTGAGTGTGTGTGCGTATGTGTATTTATGTGTGTGTGTGAGAGAGGGTGAGTGCATGTGTGTTTTTCTTTTTTCTTTTTAACTTTTTTTTTTGTCATAGACTATTCTGTTGCAATTAACGCAGCATTAACTCTTGTCTTGCATCTGTGCTGCGATGCGAATCTTATTAGCAACCGATTACATCGGAGGTTCCGGGCAGGCCGTTGGGGTCACTCAGTGTGTGCTGTTGGTGTACAGCGCACGCCCTGAGAAACGTGTGTTTTCGCCATGAATAACGTGGGAGTGTGTAAATCGATGATGAAAATAACGCTCTACCTTTCATAGCTTTCTATTTATATAGTGTTACAAACACATGAATTATAACCCCCTCTCACAAGCTAACAAGACATTTCAAGTAGTTACCCCCATTCGAATAACCTTACTAGATCTACACGCTCTTGTTGTTATGAATGACCTGGGGTTCGAAAGGGGATAATATCGGTCAATTTCCTAATGTTTTGCACTCAAATTGTTCTTGGTACCCGCACAATGTTATTCGATTAAAAATTATCAAACAAGCTTATTTTTTATCAGGTAGTATCATTTCATACAAAATCAAGCTCATTTGAAAGATTTTGTAAAGAAAAATGGAAGTCCTGACTATCCTTTCAAGCTCCTCGTGTCTAAGTGGGTCAATTTCTTCTATAATTTCATTGGACAAACATCTAGAGCTACCAACTTAGCGTGTTTTGAATGAGACGTATACCTTGGTTACAAACCAACGCAGGCGGTTTTAGAAGAAGGCCACAAATGCACACTAACTCAAGCAGACTGACGCACACACACGTGACCTGCGTGAATGGAGATCCGGCGTGGGACCCGAATTGAACAGGAGATGATGCTAGGCGCGCGGGCACTGAGCCAGGGGCCAGACTGATGCGAGACCAGAACACAGGCGAGGTGCCGAAATAAGCGGGCGACATAAACCCGGCCCCAGCAGGACGAGGGTTAATTGTCAC